TATATAAATAAGGGGCTTATAGGCTAAATTAGCACTAATTAATGCAAAGCAAGGGCGCAACTTTGCATTAATTAATGTCAACTCAGCCCATTTAACTTACTAACAACTTAGGCCGCTATAAGATTAATATTATATGGGTTAATTAAGTTGCCATTAGCATTATTATGCTGATTAATATATAAATTAATATACTTTGCATTATCTTTAGTATTTAGCTTATATTATTTTAGAAATTTTAAGGCTTTAATAAAGTTAACAGCTATAGGGAATTAATTTAATATAAGTGCAAGTAGGGTATAATACTGCTTAAGATCCTTATAATATTATTTATTTACTTAACTATTTATAAATAAGGTGCCCTTATTAATTATTTATTACAACACCTTACTCTTCCGCTCTTTTATAATTATATATTGCTAAATATTATTATAGCTTAAAAGCATTACTTTAAACTTCTTAAGAATATTCTTACTTTAAATAAAAGTAATCCTTAGCCATATAAGCAAACCTTTTATATAAATCTCTTTAATAAGAGCTATAATAATTTAATAATTAATAAAAGGGAAGTAGTTTATAGTATTTATAGTATTTTTATGGTAAGCTATCTTATAATTAACGCTAAATTCTTAGCTAAAGGTATTATATATATTAATGCAGGCAAGGAAGCTTATGCATTTATATAAATTTATAAAAACTTAATTTATATTAACTTGCTTATTCTTAATTTTATCCTTAGCAAAACTCTTTTTTAAGCATAATTTTGCCTTAGCTTTTATATATTGCTTTTGCAAGGTATATATTTATATTATTATAATTATAATTACCTTTTAGGCCTTATTAATAAGAATAACTTTTATTATATTATTTATATTATTAGCAAGATATTTATTATAATGCTAAGCCTTAGCATAGGTAAACTTATAAATAATTATCTTTTTATTAAGTAAGATCTTTAATAAGAGTAAATTACTTACCTTTTTCTTCCTTATTTTAATAAATATAAATTACTGCATAGCATAATTATTATAATAAGCAACCTTATGGAATAAATTATTATATAAGAACTTATATAAATATTCCTTACTAAGTTTATATTGCTTATATTGCTTAATTTTAATAGCGCTTAATTTAATATTAATAGGGCAATATATAAAGTATTATAAAATTATAAAGTTGGTAATTGCATTAATATTAATACTCTTTAATTAAGATATTATGCTTAGGTTATTATTTTAAATAATTAAGGTAGGCTGCAAAGGGTTATTAATAGCAAGCTAAAAAATAACGCGCTATTGCAGTTAATTAAAACTCTTTATAAGCTTATTAAACTGCTTGCTAATATTAAACTAAATAAATAAGTAACCTTAAAAGCTTAATTTCTTAACCTAAGCAATAATATTAAAAAAGGTAAATGCTATAATATTATTAGCTTATATAATAAATATTAAGGGAGGCTAATAAGTTAGCATTAATTAATGTAAATATATAGGCATAATAACTTATATAAATCTTTAAGGAAAGAAGGGAGGGTTAAAATAAAAGTTAACATTAATTAATATAAATCGTTATAATAAAAGTTGCATTAATTAATGCTAATTATTTAATATAAGGTTAAATAAATAATAATAAGTATTAATAAGGGAAACTTAAAGTTATTTTATTTAATGGTTTTAAATTTGCATTAATTAGTACCAACTTAGGGACTAAACCAGCTAAGCATTATTTTTACTTTGCCTTACTTATTATTATTTAATGCTTATAAATATGCTTTACGGTTTTAAGGCTAAGAATTTCATTAAGTTCCATAGCGTTTATTTTAATAGTTATTAAAGGGTAAAAGAGCGTAACTTAATAATATTGCTTTTTAATCTATCCTTAATTTCGCGTAGTATTTGCATTTAAGGGTATTTAAGGCTTGAGTTTAATAAATTTCATAGCATTATCCTTAAGATCCCATTAAGTTAAGTGAATTACCTTACTATCTTTATTCTTAATTTTATAAATAGGTAGAAAGCTATAGTTTAGGGGCAAATTATACTTTATTAATTAAATCTTCTCTTTAGCAAGATTAACCTTTATTTCCTTAATAAGGACCTTAGGGTATTTAAATAGGCTCAGCAGAGCTATAATAATAAAAAGGTTATTACCATTATAAAATGCTTTAAACTGCAAGATGCTATTGCCTTTAGCTAGTTTACCATTTAAAGCATTAATTAACTAAGCCAATTTCTTGGATTTTAATACTTTAGCCGGTTTTTTAAAAGCTTTTAAAGGGGGCATAGGCTTAAACTTATTAACCTTAAGGAATAGCTAAGCAGCCAATCTACCCTTTCCTTAGGGCTATTTATTAAGTAAATTAAAAGCTATAGTGCTACTTTAACTATAGCTTATGCTGCTATTATGATTTATGCTATTATTATAATTATTAATCTTAATATTTACATAGCCTTAGCTTAAAGGCATTAATAATTTTATATTAAAATCCTTAGCTAGCTTATTAAGCATAATATTCTTTAAGCAATAACTTAAGCATAATATTGCCTTTTAACCTTTAAACTTTACGGCCATGGCCTTTGCTTTCTTAGGGCCCATATTATCATTTTATATTCTCTTAATCTTTAAGTAATTAGCATTAATTAATGCAACTTAATTTATGTATTTATAAAATTAAAATAAAGGGCAAAAGGTATAAAGAAAAGGAAAGAAATGAAAGAAAGGTGGGAAATTAAGGGTTTAAATATCTCTAAAAAAAGAATTTTACCGTCCTATAAACGGATCTTTACCGCCCTTTCTTAATTAAGAAGGATATTATATAACTTAGCCTGCTAATATTTACCTATTAATGCTAAGTAAGGTTTCCGCTTATTTAATAACTACTAGCAATATTAATAATAAAGCCTATTTATCTTTATACCTTATATAAATTAAATAATTTATTATCTTAATAATACTTTTATTAATAATTTTAAGTAATTTAATTTAATAATTAGCCTTAATAAATATAAAGAAATAATTTAAAAAAGTATTAATTAATATATAATAGGTATATATTTAAAGTAAAATACTTGAAATATTTACTTTATGCAAATGGCGGGGTAGTTATAGTTTTGGAAAGCTAGCTCTTAAGGTATACCTATGTTTTAAAATGCATGCAGCTAATTTCCTTATACTAAGTGGGCCAACGCTAAAAGCTAGGTAGGCGTACTGTAGAAGCTGGGTGGGCGTACGCTAACTCTTATAGGCTCCGTGTGAGTGGCACACAGATCCCTGCGATGTTAACCTTAAAAATAATCGAACGTGCGAGCACACGAGGGCTGACAGGAATAGGACGGAGGTAATAAAACTTCCATGTGCCCAATGTGTCACTGGCCTGCATTTATACATTGTGATTGCGGTCCACCGGATCAAGGGAAGAGAAGTTTAAAACTACTCCGTCGCTTCTGGACAACATATTTTACGCCTCTAGTGTTACTAGCCAATAGCAGGACACCCAACTTCTTCCGATAATCAGAATTCTGAACGAGTTCCCGTTCATGCGCCGCACCCGCCGTAGGAACAAGGCATTCGTATCCGGCTCTGAGCAGGAATAGGCGCTCCTTTATAATGCCGCCTCTCCCAAAGAGTCAATGGCGGGCCAGTTGGATATGTCTAAGATGAGGGACGTAAGAAAGGCACTTAACTGACCCCTTCGGAGATGAAATTGAATTGAGATTGACCGGAGGTTGGGCATTATTTCTCCGGGTCGGCAGTGAGCCGTTGGATGCCACATTTCGCTCCGTGGAAAGGATTCAAGGTGGGGGATTAACTCATCTTGTGATGCATCGAAGTTCTTCGTTTTGTTGTCTGAGTATAACTCGCGAGCTTGAAAGACATCTCCTTGAATGATTCGTCCAACGGTCCTAAGCCCACTTGCTCATTTAGAGGCAGACAATTTAAATATGAGCTATGAGAAAGTCCGGCTACCTCTCCCAGATAATTGCAGGTGGTATCGAGCTGATGAAAACGAAATCAACGCTCCACACTCAAACTTAGCATTTCGTTCTATCAAGATCTTTGAGACGGAAGATTGTGAGAAATATCGAAGCCATAAAGGTAATTGAGTGTCACAGCTACTCCGCACGTACATTCAACTGGTGAGCTAAGGTATAGAAATGTTCAATGTGAGGCTACCTAGATATTGATCTGCTTTTGATAGAATTAATTATCCCTCGAATCTTCCCAATATTTCTCAGAGGGCTCAATCTGCGCAAGCTTACCAACCAAGTCCCTGACTACCTGTGCCAATATACACGAAGAGCAGTCAACAGTCACAAGGTTCCAGCCCTTAAGGACGTCGCCAACCTCGATTGGTCGGGATTGGACGAGGACCAAGGTTGAACTAAGTGATTGGCTTGGTGTACGCATGCTGCCTGGTTTAGTATGAGTTTCGGGCCTTGGGACTGTTGAAGATAGCAGTTTGAAACTCGAAATTAACTTCGAGATACCGCAATGTTTCGATCCAAAGAAATTGAACTCTGGAGCACTACTTGCCGTCTAGATTCAGGACAGTGGATACTTCCACGCCACCACTGTATTGAATTGGCGAAAGAGGTGTCGATCCAAAGGATCTTAGGCGTGTCTTGTAGAACTCATTCTGCAAGAGGCCGTCGCAAGCAATTTGACCAAGTTGATATCTTTCATTCGCGTATCCGGACACAGACAGCTTACTTTCTACACGCCGTACGCAACAACTAACAAATAGCATCTACGACGGGTGGCAACACGGAATTCCAACGGTGACAGTGTACTACTCCGACGCCAACAAAAAGAATAATGATTTATGAATGCTACCTAGGGACCTCCGAGGGGATATATCTTCGTAAAGTGAAAATTTCGCACTCAAGCCCAGCACGCAAGGCGCCACCCAAGGACACACAACACACCAATTTACCAACAATGCACGCGCGCGCACTCTCTTCTTATCATCGGTCAAACGAGCCTCCTTTATTCATTCATTTACCTCAGAACTGGATCAGATCCCCCTGGTTAGCCCCCTGCTGCTGCGGCCTCGCCCCGAACGGGTTGCTCGAGCCCTGTCCGCCAAATCCGCCGTTCATGCCGCCCGGGCCCGTAGCCCCGTACGAAATGGTCGGCATACCCGTGAACTGCTGCCGGAGGAACGGGTTGTTGCCGGTCGCCTCGGCCGTGAGCTTGTTGGCGCCTGCTCCCGCGCTGTTGACGAACGTCCCTGGCGCTGTGTGCTGCGCCGGTATCCTGGTCTCGCCAGTGTTGCCGAAAGTGTCCTGACCTTCGCCACTGGAGAGGAGCGCGTTGAGCCTCGCCTCGTGCTCGCTGATCGGTTTCGACGGTGCCTGGGGCATCTTTGGCGGCGGGGTGAAAGAAGTGGCCTGAGGCTGGGGCTGGTTGAACGCGGACAGCGTCTTTTGCTCTGGGAGTGCGTTCAAGACCGACATTGATGGCATCTTTGACGGCCCGGGCCTGTTGAACGGTGAAGGTGACTGCTGCGCAAATGGGTTGTTGGAGCCTGTCTTCATCGGCGCCATCGAGGATAGGCCGGTGTTCTGGTTGTTCGTGGCCCAAGGGTTGTTGCTCCCTGCTTGCAAGGGCGACTCCGACTGCTGTGGCTGGAGCTGCTGCTGCTGCGCGTATGGGTTGTAGCCGGTAGGTTGTGGCTGGAACTGCTGCTGTTGGCCAAAGGCGTCGAACCCGGTTTGTTGAGGCTGGCCGAAGCCGTTCGCGAAGCCGTTCTGGTACCCAGTGGGCTGTGTCTGGAAACCAGTATACGCATTCGGCATGAAACCTGTGGGCTGGGGCTGCAGCTGGCTCTGATCGATAGGGTTTCCGAAAAAGTCCACGCCGCTGCCCTGCTGGTACCCTTGGTTCCATCCAGTCTGCTGGGGTTGAGTCTGCGTGGGGGTATCGTCAAACAGCGACTGGGCGTTCTGCTCTTCCAAGGCTCGTCTGCGCGCCTCTTCCTCCTCCTTGCTCAATTTGATAGCCTTCGCAAGGTCGTCGTCCTCTGTGTCCTGGCCTGGCCTCCCCTCACGTCTCCTTCTGTCCTCTTCCTCCTGGTATTTGCTGGCCTCTAGAGCTAGTTTGTACTCGGCGTCCTCCTCCTCGGTCATTGGGCGTGGGCCTCTTTCACGTCGGCGCGGTGTGTCGTGGGGCTGCGAGCCGTATTCTTCGAGGCCTGTGACGCGGGACTTCCACGTCCGGCGATCGCTGCGCTCAGCGCGCAGGCGCTCCTCATCCAGTAGCAAGGACGTCAGTTCCTTTGCTGCCACACGAACTGCAAAGACAAATGTTAGATCCCTTTCGCACAAGGAGGGAGATATCACCACCCACTGTTTTGACCGACATCTCTGCCCTCCTCATCGGTGTACATGAATTCGCGAAGGGTCTTGATAATGTAAATGTTCTGCTTTGCCCATGTGACAACCAGCTCGGAGCCCTCGTGCAGGCAGTAATCGAGGACCTTGAGTGCCTTCAAAACGTGCCTCCAATTCTTGCCTTTGTCGTTCAACCTCTTGTCTAGCATGTCCATAATCTCGTAGAATTCGGTTGACCTAAGGTTGTGACCGCATTAGCTTACCACCAGTCAGCATTGCGGCGGATCGGCAACGTACGAGTTGTAAGTGAGCTGGGCGATCTCGCTCATCTGAGTGCCCGTTGGGCCCCATGGGTCGTTGCTCGTCGCTGCATGGCTACGTCAGTTTGCGACATTCGAGATGGGTCCGGGCGGAGTATCGTGAGCCTGGCCAACATACCCTCGCGCACTTTGATCTGGACACCTGAATACCCCTTGGTGACATTTTTTACGCCTCTGAGAACCTTGGACATTTTGGCGGTTGGGTCTGGAAGTTATCACGTGTGTGATCTGGGAGCCGGATGAGTTGCGGCAACGGGATGGATCCCTTTTCCGGTGAGAATCAGGGGATCAGGTTTCGACAGGCTGCGCCGAGAATGGTGTCGTCGCAGGCGAGCCTGGGAGGTGGTCGCGCACTGCCGAGATATCGTGCAACAGACAGCGATGTTGAGTGATAGAGTTGTGGTCCCCTGCGTTGAACGGCGACAGGAATCGGCAAGCCTCCGGACGACGATTGAGGGCAGCTCTGCCACATGCGACAATGGAGAGGTAGGAAAGGGGGTTGGTAGGCGCTGACTGTCGACCTCAGTCAGGAAAGTTGGTGGCAGGAGTGATTAATCGATCGACGGACGGAGGACGGGGGACGGCGGGATCGCAGGCTGTTGGCACGGGAAATTGAGCCGTTCGATGGGTTCCAGTTGTGGAATTACCGCAGTAGTGGCACCTCGGCTGCTGTGCAGTCGGGTGTGCTTGCTGTAGGATGTGATGCTTCGTATGGAATGCCAACGAGTGTCACGGGCCGGCGAGATGGTTGCAGCCCCAAAGTGAGAAGGGCGCTTGTATGATGTGATGAGGAGCGAGACGAGATAGAGTCAAGTGAAGCTGGAGGTCCCTTTCTTTGGAGGTGATGGCCTGTGTTCCAGGTGGCGCCCTTCCCGGAGGCACTTTAGTTAGACTAGACTGCGTACGACGCAGGACTGTGACCAAGGTACTCCCTCCCTCCGCGCAAAAACCCAGGCGCAGCAGCAAGCCAGCTCAGGCTTGGGCTCAGGCTCAGGCTTGGGCATGACGAAACCTGACAGGGTCCCGTTTGTGGGCGCTAGGCCTGTCCGGGTAGTATCTGATGAGCCAGCTGCAGGCGACAGGACGTGACTAAGGCGAAATAAAGCCTTCTTGAAACCATGCACTGTAAATCTAAATGCGCTGAATTACGATGACCACAGACTTGGCCGGCTAGTGGACAGGTGGACACCTCCGTGCCATCCTGAACCCACACATTTTGCGGACCAGACCAGCCCATCTCTGTACGGCACTGCGGTAATTCATCATATTCATCATAACCCACTTTGAAGATCCTCCTCACCAAGCATCTAGTATGCAGCATGCGACATGCAGCATGGCGTACAGTGCTGCTCACAAGTGCACAAGTCATTGAGGCCCGGGCTCCAGTCCGGCCGTCTGGCTAACACTACAAATAGCATTATTGCTGGGCCACTCCGTCCCGGTAACCTTGGAAAGCAGCTCTGGGGCGATGGTGGGGGAGGCCATTAGCTCCATCCTACACCCATGTCAAATTATCTTGCCTGCGGTAATAGCGAGGCTCTCGGCTTCCTCTCTAGTAATAAGCCTGAACGGCTTGACTCTGCCTGCGAAGGCCATCAGAGATCAACCGTGGTTCTGACGTCCATCCACTATTCCAGTCCACGTGAGCGATAGTAATACATAGTACACAGTAGTTTCCCAACGCCTTGCTAGCAAATCATCAAAAGAACCTCAGACCGACACATCAATGCGTGACTGAATGAACCTCCCTTCCAGCCCATCATGCCCATGTCTAGGCAGCAATGTCCTCAGAATCAATCATGGCGACGTCGCCGTCACCGTCACCACCCCCGTCCGTATCGCGACTGCTGCTGCTGCTCCTAGCAGAAGCCGCGCCATTGCCATTGACCCGACGTGGGCTGGCTGTGACCTGGCCCTCGGCCTCTTTGCCTTTGACACCATTACCGCTGACGCCAAGAGCCTCCTCCGCCTCTTGCGTCGTCATCTTCTCGCCAGCAGCAAGTTCCAAACGCCGTTGCTCGAGCCACCCTGGCGGCAGTCCCGGGCCGCTATCGGCATTTCCATAATCACTCTTTTTCGTACCCTTCGGCCAGCGTCCTGGTCCTCGTCCGGTGCCACCGGGCTTCCTACGCGCGCTGCTGCTGCTCCTGGCCTTGGGCCCTGCGGATCGCCGGCTGCCAGTTGGCCTCCGGGCTTTTGGTCGAGATACACTAGCTGTCCGAACCACCGGAGGCCGTGGGGTCGTGATCGGACGGACTGCCGTAGTGCGCCTCCCACCGTGGATATGAGGATACACGACAAACCTGGTGGCCGGAATGCCGCTGTAGGCATCCACCCACGAGTTCTCCTTGTTGTCAGAGTGCTTGGCACTTGAGTCCTTTTGATCGCCCCTATCTCCAACGACATTGGGCTCTGTCGCTCGGTTTTCGAAGGAAGCCTCGGTTTCATGGGACGTGGGCTCGTTGCCATTTCCTGCATCGCTCGCTCCGTCCATTCCCATTTCGTTGGGTTCCGTGGACTCGAGCACCGTGTCGGCCGCCTCCGCCTCCATCTGAGCCTCCTTCTTCTCGGCCGCTTCCGCCTCGTGGTTGATGCCGTTGGCCTCCGGGCCGGCCTCGATTTCAGTGTCAACCTCGGCGGGAACCCCAGCCTCAGCCTCGGGTTCAACTTGGACAGCGACAGGCTTGCCATTCTCCACGACCTCTGCAACCACAGCTTCGTCGGCTTTCTGCTCGTCGTCTTCCTCTCTAGGGGCGATGGCATGTATGGCGGGCGCCAGTTCGAAGTTTGTAGCGTTGCTGCGGCCCATAACATAGGGCGTCCAAGTCAACACGCTCGGGTCGAGTTGAACATAGTTCTTGGACTCCCACTTCGCAACGTACTCTTTACAGAACTGTATGTCAACTCTGAAGGCGTAGAGCTGGGTTTGCGGGTCGCGCACGAGACATCTCAGCCCCTCCAAGGCTGAAATGACATCGTCCGCCGTGAGTCCAGTGTCATCGGATATTTGCTTGATGCTGAGGCCCCTCTTCACATGTTTGTCCTCCGGACAGTGCTGGAGAAGATAGCGGCACATTACCAGGCGCCAATAGTTTCGATATGACACCAGACCCATGTCGGATAACGGCTTCTCAGGAGATCCCGTTTTCCCCTCTACCCTGGTAAGGAGGTAGGAGAAATCGATCAGGAGGTTGCCATATCCCTTTCGCTGGTGGATCGGTAGAGTCAGAATACAAGAGACGTTGTTCTGACTGCTGGCCCTCTTCTCCTTTGAGAAATAGCCAACAAAATGGTAACCAAGGTCGTCGTACTCGCAAAGCACATAGAAGAGAAATGGTTCGACATCGTAGTAGAGCGTCTTCGAGCCTAAGAACAACTTGGCCAACAGACACAGGTTCTGGCAGTAGACCGGATTCTTTCGACCATCGACTTCGAAGACGGAGATGGACCCATGCCTGTAGATCTCATCTCCGGGGGGATGCTTCGCTGGGCACTTCAATTTGTGTCGCCAAGCAACGTAGTCTGAGTTCATGTACTTGAGGCAGAACTCGCAGATGAAAAGCACACGGTTCCTGCTGTACTCTTCCGGGTACGGAGCCGCATACCATGTGTCGATTTCCCAGCCGCCAAACTCGATGCACTCGATTTGACTAGCAGGCCCTTGCGACTTCTTTGACTTCTTGGCGGGCACCTCGATCTCCTCTTGCATCTTCAGAAGCCGCTCTTGCCAGTCCTCCTCGGCCCTCTGTTTGGCCTCATCGAAACGGCGGCGGTCTTCGTTGGTAGGCACGGTCTTTGAAGTATCTGCCTCGGCCTCTGTGAGGATGCCTCCGTACGGTTTCCCCTTGTCGTCCATATCTTTGTCGAAAAATGAGTAAAAAGGCTGCGAGAGATTTGAGGCGAAGGGTGCGATTGGAGGTGTGGCAGCTCGCCTCGAGCGCGACGGAACAGCCGCTCTGGCTGGCCTGGATCCTGTTGTGCGCCGTCCACCCCCACCTCCACTGCCCCTTGATGGCTTGGGCTTTTTGGATGTGATCTTTTTCAGTTCCGTTGGCGCGATGCGGAACCTCACAACAAGTGTCGTCCTGGTCTTCTTGATAATTGTTGCTGGCGCGTTGGTTGATATCTTCAATCGGAGGGATCGTGCAGAGCGTGGACGACTGTCCTCCTCGACTCCATTTGCGCCGTTTGCCGCCCCTTCGATACTGTGGCTGTCCCCAGTATTCTTACGTCGTTTGCGGAGGCCGACTACGTGCTCATCAGCTTCCGCTGAAGATGTTTTGCGCTTTCTAAGCACGCGCGATCCATCCATGGGGTCATCATCAAGGACAAGTTGGTTGAACACGGAATGTGAATCTGGCTTCACTGCCCCTCGTTGCGATGGAAGGAGGTCCCTGGCGAGTTTGGGCGCCGTGGCCCGTCTTGCGGCAGGAGGTGAATCGGCGTCGACGATGCCATTCAATTCGTCATTCAGTTCCTCCTGAGATTCGTCTTGAGATTCGTCCTGCTCGGCCTCGGAATGTTCATGGCATTCGGGACATCTCCAGGACTTAGAGGCTAGCGATGAAATCAGTATCAAACATGCAGTCTATACGTTCATAATGGGTTGATCAACTCACTTTGCTTGCCCTCCAGCGCCTTGTTCTCCCGAGCACACTGCTGGTGAGCTATATTGATATTAGTACACGGATGTTTCGGGTGGACTTGAAGAGGGCACAAACCACTGTCACCACAGCCGGTACAAGTCAGAAATATCTCAAACTCCTCACACGGGTCGTTGTCCTCGTCTTGCTTGCAAAACATGCAGATATTAGCCGGCGCGTTCTCCGATTCGTCGTCGTCGTCGTCATGGTCTGCAGCGACGTTCCATTCGGCCTCTCCTTCGGATGCCTCTTCGCTCTCGGCATGATACGATTCGCCCTCGCTGGCCTCGCTTTCCTCGTCAGTCTCGCCTGGCCTGAGCTTGACAGCGCCGACTCCTTCCTCGTCCTCGTTCTCGTCTTCCTCATCGTCTTCTGGGATCTCCTTGCCCCGGCCCAAGTGTGCTTGTTCGATGGCTTCATCATCCGGTTCGCCTTCGGCATCGTCGTCGTAATTCTCGTCGTCCTCGCCCTCGGCATCCATATCGCTTCCAAGGTTGCCGTCTCCAGATTCTACTGCACCTTCTTGATCGCCCTCCTCGGCTTCTTCTGGTAGGACATCTAAGTCCTCATATTCGCCCTCGGCATCTTCGTCTCCTGCTCCATCCTCGTCGTATTCTTCGCCTTCGGCATCTGGATCGTCCTCGGCCGGGGCGTCGTCCTCAGGGTCAAACTCGGGAGCCTCGTCGGTATTCGTCGCGCTTTGTTGGAGCTCGTCCTCGGTGAGGTGAGCGCTCTGCGTGGATCCCGTTCCAGCCATGTTGGGAACGCTTGACATCCAGCTGCGGAGCTTCGTAGGGGTCCTGTTCTGGATCGCCTCCCAAGCTCGGCTTGCCAGTGACGGCTTGCCCGTGGCCTGCTCCACCCTTCTTACGGACAGGGAGGCACTGTTGAAGTGCCTAGCTTCATTCCCAAGCTCGTCGTGTATGCGGTAGTATCTAGATCGCACGCTCGATGTCGCACTGGCTTGCAATCTCTGGTTTGCGACTAGAGGTGGTTGCGCCACACATGGAGTCGTCGATGGCTCGATGTGGGGAGTTGCCCGTTATTGGACGCGCAGATTCGGGAGAATATCATTAGACGGTGGATACGTGGGCGGTTGCTACTCCAAGCAATTCGACTTTGACGCGTTTCGAGCTTGTACACGAGCTGTTCGTGCCAAAAGACCGATCAGCTCCAAAGGGCGAGACGTGCGTCGCAAACGAAGGTGCAAGAGTGGGCTGTCTCGGCGCAGACCAGGGTTGACTAACAATATTCTAGTATGGATCGTACCTGCAGCCGGCGCAAATTGGGCTTGGGGTCAATGGAGCCTAATTGTAATCCCGCGGTCTGCAGTGTCTGAGATAACTGTGCCGGCCGGAAGCCTGTGAGCAACCAACTCCAGTCCAACTGCTCGACTCTAGAGACGACACCCGTCTCGGCGACGTCAGACTCCCAACAACCAATTCAATCATATCCAGACCGAGCCAGCACAATGCCCGTCCCATTCGAGACTCTGCTTCCGTATGGAGTCATCCTTGCGGTAAGGACTAGGAGGAAGAGGAGAAGGGAGGCCTGATCACCCGACTTTGGCTAAGTCGAATTGCAGATGTTCGGTGTCTCCGGCGTGGGACTGGCCAATATCAAATACTACCAGAACGGAGGCAAGCGGGCAAGGCGCTCGCTGGACCAATGGGACAGACAAAGTACGTCGCCCTGACCCGGAAGGACGACGCGGGCTTGACATACTGACTGGAATACTAGTGATGAACCGCGACAGGCGGTTAACTGGGTTCCTTAGGGGCCAGGCCGCGAATCCAGTAGCACCGGACGGCTACGAATTGAACAATCCCTGGAGGGTATGAGACATCCTTTGCGGGCTTGCTACCGTACGAGAAGGCTGACGATTATGTGCAGGTCGAGCGACGCATATGCTAGACGAAGACCAACTCCCACCTACGAAGCACCAGGCGGACAAATCTTGGAGAGAACGAGGCTCTGGCTCTTCGCACGCTCCGGTACGAGCTGGCTGGGAATGCTGAATGTGGAGAGGCGCATATGCTTGGTCGTAACTTTGCAGATGATCTTCGCCTGGGAGGAACAGTTAAACCAGGAACTTTCTTTGGTAGGGCAGACGTTGCAAGACTCGAAGAGAGGTTTCGCAACGCAGGTGTATGCAGTATAGACACAATACTACGAGCATTTCATGAACTCGGTCCGGCTCAAGGGGTGCACGGGTGAATCTTGTTGGGTATCTTATGCTATAACTGAATCTGTGCTCTGTTCTTATTCAGGCCTTCCAACAGCATGCAAGCCTGACATCTCGCCTGGCTTGACATGTAACCACATTTCTCACATCTTCCAAGCACCTGTCTTGCTACTCCAGGCTTATTTGTAGGGTTGGTAGTTCGTATTGGCAGCTCTTTCGACCCGTTTGGCCGAGTCTTAAGAGGCACCGCAGCAGTTACGTCGGTCTCAAGCCCCGTCGATGATTCGTTACTCCTTAATTGAGCTTCCATTGCGGCCATCTCATTCCCTGTACTGCGGCCATTGCCAGATCCGCACCCTCCGACACCTTCATCCTCCTCGGCGGGCGTTGTAGCAGGACGTGGCTTTCCGTTGCAGGCGCACTTGCCTGGTTGCTTTCCAGGCACTAGGCGGGCCATGTCCTCACCACTGCGGACAATATCCAGAATCGCGCTCGGCCGCACTTTCTCGAGGTTCTTGATCAAACTCCTTGCACTTCCCCTGAAGGCCTCTGGGCTGTAAATGCACTCTGTGGTGAAGTAATCGAGCTTCTTGTGATGTGCATACAACACGATCTCCTTCTCGTATGAGTACTTGAGTGGCTTGCTCCGCTTGACGTCCGAGTTCGAGTCCCCGGTAACGATGTGCGTTGCCCGTGACAGCCGAGGCAAGTCGCCTCTGAGCAGGTTCATGAGTACAGTCTCGGCGACATCGTCGGCGTTGTGGCCGGTGACGACATGTCTGATCTCCAGCATCTTAGCGCCTCGATCCAAAGCCTGCCGTCGAAACACACCGCAGTAGGTGCAGTTGCCCTTCTTCCCGATCGTCTCGACGACCTGGTCCATCGTCCAGCCATAGAGCTCGCCGTAGCCCACGATCTTCAGAGGCATCTCGTACTGCTCTGAGTTTCGCTTGACCGTCTCGAGGGAATCGTCTCGGTAGCCCTTAATACCCTCGTCCACGCTCAACAACACCAGGTCCAGTCCGTAGTTGTGACGTTCATTTAATGTCTTCAGGACTGATGCCAGCACAGTTGAGTCTTTGCCACCTGATGCACCGATGGCTACCCTCTCTCCGGGGTAGAACAAATTTGAAGATGTGATGGTGTGATGAACTTCGTCCTCGAAAACCTGGATGAAACACTTCTTGCAGAGCTTCATGTGGTTCTTTGGCCGCTTGATAAGAGCCCGCTCCGTCTTACAGAGGGCACATGGTACAGGCGCCATGTCTGGGGGCGTTCAACAACAGCACAGCGGTGTTTGGAGCCCAGATTTCGCCGGCCGAATCGACAAAAGACACAAATATCAAATCGAATCAGCTCCAGCTGTAAAATCTAGGGCAGGAAGAATAATTGCTTTTGTCGATCTTTGGGTTGACGGGTTTGCATCAAAAAAGCAGTGTAGGTTTCCATGACTGGTAAGACTTTAATAAGAGTGAAGCCTGCAGATGGTTTGCCTGCAAATCTGCTGTGGCGTTGGTGTGGCTGGTGGGTGGTTTGAAAGTGAGCTAGACCATTTTCGTACTAAGGCGATAATTTCAGAGCCCACAACAAAACCTAGCCAGACGATTTTCTCCGCGATCCCACCAGCGAAATGTTTCCTTTCCTTTGAACCATCGCCAAACCACAGTTCCTCGAGAGGGTCAATTCCAGAACTGCCGACCATCACCCTTCAAAATGGTAAGCACTTGATTGAGATGTCTTTGTGACGACAGATCAGACCGCCTCGTGCGTGCTGGTGTCTGTCGTCCGTCTATTTGACTCGAGACTGCTCTCGAATTTCTTCGAGATGCAGATTCCGCCTGTCGTCTTCGGACGCAGGTGATGACTTGGCTTGAGCCTCCGCACGAAGGCAGAGATGTCTCGTGCGAGCTCTTTAGAGATCGAGAAAGACCACCAAGCAATGGAACACATTCGCTGATGTCTTTCTTCCTCAATGATAGCCTCCCAAATCCGGAAAGAAGGCGGCTCCCGCCCCCTTCCCCCAGTCTAAGGCTGGCAAGAAGGCCCCCAAGGTATGTCCTGCGAACACTCACACTCCCTTCTCTTGTGGTCGTCGACCGTGGTGGACTAACGCATGTCATCAGAACCCTCTCATCGAGAAGCGTCCTCGCAACTTCGGTATCGGCGCCGACATCCAGCCCAAGCGCAACCTTGCGCGCATGGTGAAGTGGCCCGAGTATGTCCGCCTCCAGCGCCAAAAGAAGATCCTCAACATGCGGTTGAAGGTCCCCCCGGCGATCGCCCAGTTCCAGCACGTCCTCGACAAGAACACCGCCACCCAGGCTTTCAAGCTCCTCAACAAGTACCGCCCTGAGACCAAGGTCGAGAAGAAGGAGCGTCTGCTGAAGGAGGCCACCGCCATCAAGGAGGGCAAGAAGAAGGAGGATGTCTCCAAGAAGCCCTACACCGTCAAGTACGGTCTGAACCACGTCGTTGGCCTGATTGAGAACAAGAAGGCCGCCCTGGTCCTGATCCCCAACGATGTCGACCCCATCGAGCTCGTCATCTTCCTGCCTGCTCTCTGCCGCAAGATGGGTGTCCCTTTCGCCATCGTGAAGGGCAAGGCCCGTCTGGGAACTGTCGTCCACAAGAAGGTAAGCGATTCCCCCAACATCAGCTTTCTTAAAAACATGATTGCTAACAATGCTATGTCAAGACCGCCGCTGTCCTCGCCATCACCGAGGTCCGCTCTGAGGACAAGTCTGAGCTCTCCAAGCTCGTCTCCACCGTTAAGGATGGCTACCTGGCCAACACCGAGAACGCTCGCCGCCAGTGGGGTGGTGGCATCATGGGTGACAAGGCCAACAAGCGCACGGAGAAGAAGAGGAAGGCCGTCGAGCAGGCCCTCAAGGTCTAATTTTATTTCGACGAGGACTGATTTCTACGAATGGGAAGCATGGTCTGCAAGGGTAAATGGTTACGGCGTCTGGAAAATACCAAAACGGTTTATGGACACAATGGAATTGCTTGATCTGGAAGCATCTTGGGCACATTCGTGTTGTGTGACATTGCCGCCGAGTAGCCAGCCACTACTAAAGAATACGACTCTCGAGATGGAAGCCAGTCTCTTCAAGCGTATCACCACCGTGACATGATTGCGAGGATCGACACCCGGATAGTGTTGGGTGCCAAGCACCCGGTTGGTAACACATGCTGGCCTTGCAGTGTCGCATACCCCCTATCAAAAGCCACAGAAGTCACAAGAGACACAAGGACCTGGGCCCGGACGTCTGTCTCGCAGGGAGCAGCTAGGCAGTCTTTCATGCCGGGACTATAATAGCGTGCCGCAATAACGACAAAACAGACCCTGATTCATCCCGAACCTAGGTATGTGGTCGAAGCCTTGGCCCCGGTAGCAGGGCAATAGATCTGGCGGACCAGGGGCTCTGGGACGGCGATCTGTGTTTGACATTCCTTGGGGGCCTTGCACGCTTGTCCAAGCTCCTGCGATCGTGAACACTCGGTCAAATTCCCGGGCCACTATCAATAACATTAATAACATCTGTGCGATCGGTCGGCCTGTTCAGCGATAGCAGACTGGTGGTACTCGGGCTCGAGTCGTTTCATCCCAAAACTAAATCCGTAGCCTGGGGTGCACTGGGTTTGTTCCCCCCCATAGAGAGAAAGATATTATTATAAAGTTTCCCAACCTTTTTCATTTTCTTTACCTTCCCCACGAGTGTAAGCACACAACAGCCCCCAGAATCCCCTCGATCAGAAACAGGTTCCACAAGGTGCTTTTCGCGCAGCCCGTAGCGTCAAGAATACCCGGCTGACAGTCAGTTGCTGGCGTCTAAAATTCGCTCACCGTTTTCTGTGTCCCCGAGTGTGGTCAACTACCGCGCGCAGATACTCCGTGTTCCCCGGGCCAGGTACGTATCTATCTTGCATCACCCCCTTCTGGATCTGGATCTGGAACCTCGAGGGATCGCTTCTTCGGCTTCTTCTCTGACGCGACTGCAGACCCATCTTGTGGACCACAGCTTTCCCCATCTTGCCGGTCAGGGCCCAGTAATTCGCTATTGCATCGCGAGTTGCTTCCAAGCACCGGAACGGTCCGCTGCATCAGACACGCATAGCCCGTCAAGCCGACCTTGCAAAGCGGCACCATACCCGCCCCATCATCCCGGCCTCGTGCTTCACCGTTCACTGCCCCTTCCCCCTTCTATTGAGAGAAAACGTCACAGGGGATTCCATCCGCAAGACCGAGGAGCCAGCGAGCCAGCGAGCTTGCTCCGGGCCATTTGAAGCGCGTGCATTAGCCGACGCGTCCTTTGCGTCTCTCAGCGTATAAATACCACCAGCAAGGTCGGACGAACTTCTGTCGCTGGAGACACAAGCACATTTCCGAAAATGGCTCACCAACGTAAGTGGTCCCATGCGATGCACTCGCTCGCAGATGTCTCTCCCACTGACCGCTCGTCTTTGCCGATGCAGAGGACACCTTCCAATATGCCATGAGCTCGAACGGGGCGTGGGCGGGCTACAAGGCGTACCAGAATCCGCAGTTCTTCCCGAAGCTGGCGAGCGGCCAATCGCCCCAGATCCGTAAGTGTCTCATTGACCCCCTGCACGGCGAATTGGGGATGCGGCTCATTTAGACTTTCATGCCTTCTGAGGATCGCGTTCTGGCCCGCCAAGAGTCTCGAAAAATGACAACTGACTAATGGCACAAAACAAAAACAGTCTGGCTCGGTTGCTCCGACTCCCGCTGCCCCGAGACGACGATCCTCGGCCTCCAGCCGGGTGACGTCTTCGTGCACCGCAACATCGCCAACATCATCTCGGCGACGGATATCAACACGTCGGCGGTGATCGAGTACGCGGTGGCGCACCTCAAAGTCAAGCACGTCGTGCTGTGCGGGCACACATCGTGCGGCGGCGCGGCGGCGGCGCTGTCCGACTCGAGGGTGGGCGGCGTGCTCGACACGTGGCTCACGCCGCTCAAGGCGGTGCGCTACGCCCACGCCGACGAGCTGGCGGCCATCCGCGACGACAAGGAGCGCGGGGTCCGCATCGCGGAGCTCAACGTCGAGGCGGGCGTCAAGGTCCTCATGGCCAACTTCACCGTCCAGGAGGCGATCCGCGACCGCGGCCTCGAGGTCCACGGGTGCCTCTTCGACATCAGCTGCGGCAAGATCAGGGACCTCGGGTTCGGCAACACCAAGGCAAAGACCAATGGGCACCGCAGCCCCGGGCCAGATGAGATCATCCGGGGCAACCACGCGACGCTGGTCTTCCGCAGCGGTGGTGCCTCCATGACGGGTCGATAGAGATGTGTGCGTGTGTGGTGTGTTTCTGCTTGTTAGTTCCTAAATTACTGTACCTGGCGTTCGAGCATGTGCGTTGGGCGATTGACCTGGGCAGAGCCTTTGAGTCGTGGGCCCTTTTGGGGGAACCCTTGGCGGATGGATTTGGGCATGATGTTTATGCACCTGGAAACGGGGATCTGTTTGGATACTCAAAAGAGAGCGTCAGTTGCATTGTGAGACCGGTCGAGGAGGCACGATCTCATCATCTGTATTCAAGAGGAGCGTGGCGTGGGAGCGTATAGATTGAGTCAATGTCTGAAAGCCCGAATAGGACTCCGATTTCTTTTTTGCAAAATTCTGTCTCTGCCGCAGTCAGTCAGTGCCTTCACATGCCATGTCTTTGCGGTGTCAACCCCGCCATACGAGGGACAAAGTGCCCCTCAGCCACTGTAGAGCTCCGTAAACCGGCCTCTGTTCTTGATTGAAGATCCAAAGAGGTCCCAACACCATGCATTCCAACTGCCGTGGGCCCCAGTGCTGGTGGAAAAGTGCAATGACGTGAATCCGATCTTGAAAACGTCTTGTTCAGACAACCGTAATTGGGCACCGTTGACAAAGGGCTCGCCCCGTGCTGTCTCCCATTAGCGGCCCTTGGCAATGCGAGTTCCCCAGTCACAGAACATCACTACCTGGACCAGCGAGACCCGATCCATCACCAACCACAATTGCCGCCAGGTGCGAATCAGCCTGAACCATCATTGCCTGTTTGAATAAACGGCATCGACACTCGAAATCGAATCCGAATCTGCATTGCTCGGAGCCTGCCAAGTGGACAAGGCCAACTATTGCCGTCTCAAAAGTCGCAGCGAGGTCATTTCGTCTCAGCATCCGGTGCTTGACACCAGCTACGCCCCGCCCCACCCATCAGCCAAGCGAGTTATACATTGTCTCATATACTAGATCTTTTCTTTTCAACCTCCTAGCGCAATGTCTCTCACAGTCCTCACGGACGAGCAGATACGACTACTGCTCGAGTCCTTGACCGCGGACGAGCTCGAGTCCTTCGTGCTGAATCTCAAGGGCGCCCTTCATGATTACTCAAACGGTTCCCAGGTGCCCGGAGTGTCCGATATCCACCAACCTCACCGGCAGACGGTAAATTCCTCAAGGACTGGCGCAACTACGCTGTTCATGCCCTCGAGCAGCCCAGCCGGCGTCGGTGTCAAAGGTGCGCACCCGCTTGTCCGGCCCTGGCCCTGGCCCTTGGCTATAGCTTCACCCTTGCCCTTGCCCCGGGCCTCAAACCTATATGCCCCTGCTGATCAGACGAGATAGTCATCACCCTCTCACCACCCCAGTCAAAACAAGATGAGGCGGGAGGGAAACCCAAGATCAAACCCGTCGGCGCCATCACGCTCTTCTCCGAGACGGGCCAGCCCGTCGGCATCCTGCACGCCTCGCAGCTGACGGCGTTCCGGACCGCCCTCGCGTCCGCCTGCCTCGTGGTCCGCCGCAACCGCGTCCACACCGTCACGGCCTTTGGCTCCGGCGAGCAGGCCTACTGGCACATCCGGCTCGCGCTCATGCTGCGCGGCTCGACCATCCGCCAGGTCAACGTCATCAACCGCCGCTTCTCGGAATCGTGCAAGCACATCCTGAAGCGGCTGTACGCGGTCCCCGCCGCCGTCAAGGAGCGCGAGGGCTGGCAGGACGCCCAGTTTGGTATCCTCACGCCCGGGTACGGCGAGTTCGACCGTCTGCTCAAGGAGCAGGTCCGAGCAGCCGATGTTATCTTCTGCTGCACGCCCAGCAGGGAGCCGCTGTTCGACCACTCCTTCCTCACCAACGGCGAAGGCCGCCGCAAGGGCCGGCTTATCGTCGCCATCGGCAGCTACACGCCCGATATGCTCGAGATCCCCCTCGAGGTGGTGCACCAGGCCGTCCGGACCCACGAGCCAGGTCACAGGCACTTTCACAAACACGCCACCGAGGGCGGTGTCGTCATCGTGGACACCCTGGACGGCGCATTACAGGAGGCCGGGGAGATCATCCAGGGCGGCCTGACGCCCAAGCAGCTTATCGAGTGAGTTCGACCGGAGAGGTTCTTTGGAAACGGGCATGCTAACTTAACACAGGCTGGGCGAGCTGGTCATGCTGCACCGCATCAAGATGGACGAGGAGTCCTCCTCAGACGATACGGGCAGCCTCATCTCCAGCAGCGGCGCCAGCACGACGCCGTCCTCGGACCTCGAGAAGCTGAGCCTCGGCTCCGGGCCGTCCATGTCGTCCGTCTACAGCAGCAACACCGACGAGTCGGATAGCCGCCCGCCCAGCCGCCCGGGCTCGCTGTTCCACAGGCGCAAGACCAGCCAGAGCAGCAGCTCCGACGGCGCCGGCAAGAGGAAGAAGGAGCGCGAGGACCATATGTGCCGCTGGCTGCAGGCGGGCAACGTCATCTACAAGAGCGTCGGCCTGGGGCTGATGGACCTCACGGTCGGGATGAAGGTGATCGAGTTCGCTCGGGACAAGGGCGTCGGCACGCACGTGGCTGGGTTCTAGGGGGGCACGACGCAGCTGCCGCAGCTTTCGCGGCTCATGAGCGACTTTTTGGTGCCCGCGGTTGAGACGGGTGAGGGCCCGCCAGCCTGATCGTAGGTTGCTTCCTGTTAGACTGTAGAAATGCACGTATTGGGGCGCGCAATCGTGTAGCACATGTAGGTAGCATATTGCTCCATGTGCGGTGAATCTTGTACGTCGCTGGATCGGTCCTGTCCTGGTCCAGATCTTCCGAGACAAGTTACATGCACTGCGGCGAGCTAGGAAGTGGCTTTTACCGACTCCGCGGAGGGCGTCTGTGCGGTTTTTGCTTCTAGAATGGTCGCACGAGGAGATGTTACGGAAGGTGGCCATTCCACAGGCTATACTCGGGTCGACGACACAAGAGACTTGCTTGTCAGGTCGTGGCTCAAAATGCAAAGCTGGCAAGATCATATTTTTATACTACAGCTATACAATCTACTCGGCAACCCAGACAGCAGCCATTCTAGAAGGGGGAAGTATGTTAGCATTTGCTGAGAGATCCTCAGGGAACGAAGTGAGAGTGGAAAGCAATGTAGAATGACTTACCCCATGCCCGTACCGATACACATGCTCGTGACGCCGATCTGCTCGCCCCTCCTCTTGAGCTCGTACAGCAGGGTGGAGACCTGCCTGGCGCCGGTGCAGCCGAGCGGGTGGCCGAAGGCGATCGCGCCGCCCTTGGGGTTGATCTTCTCCTGGGGCAGGCCCAGCTCGTTGGCGCACCACAGGCACTGGCTGGCAAAGGCCTCGTTGATCTCGAAGATGTCGACGTCGTCCTTGGTGATGCCCGTGAGCTCGAAGACCTTGGGGATAGCCTTCCAGGGCCCGACGCCCATGAGCAGGGGCTTGACGCCGACGATGCTGGCCGCCACGTACTTGCCGAGGATTGGCTGGCCTAGGCGCTGGGCGGTGCTGCGCTTCATCAGCAGCACGGCGGCGGCACCGTCGCTGATCTGCGAGGCGTTGCCGGCGTGGATGCTGCCGTCCTTGGCGAAGGCCGGCTTGATCTTGCCCAGGGATTCGGCGGTAATGCCCGGGCGCACACCGTCGTCCTTGTCCACGACGATCTCCTTGGTCTCGCCCGACTTGGGGTCCTCGAACTTGACCTTGAGAGGGAGGATCTCCTGGTCGAACAGGCCCTGCTGCTGGGCCTTGAGAGCCTTCTGGTAGGAGCTGGCGGCGAAGGCGTCCTGGCTGGCCCGGGAGACGCCGCGGTCCTTGGCCATCTGCTCGGACAGGACTCCCATGGGAACCTTGCAGTTGGCAGCCTCGGGGTGGGACTCGAGGAGTTCTGAGAACTCAGAGACGGCGCCGGGGCTGTAATTGACATGTTTGTTAGCGTGTGGTCCAAGAAGATCGTAAAGAATGATAGGTCTTATGCGTACCCGTATTGCGTTGACATGGACTCAACACCGGCACCAATGCCGACCTCGATCATGCCAGTGCTGATCTGGTTCGCCACATCCACGCAGGCTTGCAGACCGGAAGAGCACTGCCTGTTGAGGGTTCGCACAGCGGTGCCCTCTGTGAAGCCGGCGACCAGGGCAGCGGCTCGCATCTCGGTGGCACCGCCACCGGGGGCAAGGACGGTTCCAACGCAGACATCCTCAACCAAGGTAGGGTCGATCTTGGAGCGGTCGATGATGCCCTTCAGTGCACCGGCGACCAGGTCGGAGGCCATGGTGTCCTTGAATCCACCCTTGCCACCCTTTGTGAATGCTGTTCGGAGGCATGCTGTCACGACGACCTAGAGCAGGAGCAGTGGAGGTCTGGTCAGCAAGTGTAGTGGCGGAGCTAGTAACCGGGAAGGAAGGTGCAACGAAAAGGGAGGTGGACTCACATCATCGGGGTTCTTCTCAAGGAGTCTCGCCTTGCCCTGCTTGGGGCTGGAGAGCTGGCCAGCGACTGCTGAGGTTCTATCGATAGCTGCGGCCACCTGGTCAGTCCGAGGTCCATTGGGAGCGGATGAGAGAGCTCTCCTACCACCCATCTTTGTGGTCCTGCTCGTCTGTCCGGGATACAAGTGATGCCTGAGATCGTGTCACGAAAGGCACGGTGATGCTGCAGGTAGGATAGGAGTGGAAGTGCTGTGTGTATGATGTCGTGGACAGACAAATCGAGGAATAGAATTGTGTTGTCTGATGCAAAAGCTGCCAGAAAAGAGGGAGAGGAATGTTGATGGTAATCTGGACCGCTGGCCTCGACGTGCCGAGGCACACGACGGCCGAACCCGAGCGATGTGGACTTGCTGCAGCGGCCGGAAGTCGGACAAGCAAAGAGGCTTGGCGTCATGGGACAGCACTGGTCCCTACAGCGTCTTCACATGCCAATCGCCCCTGCTGAATTGCTGACCTGGGCCGCCCACGGCAGGACGTGCAGGTCATTTGATGCACTAGAGCTGCGTCTGTGTCTACTCGACTTGCTGCATGTCGCTGCCGCGAGCGAGTAAGCGACAGTTTCACATGCTCACATGCTCGACCTCGACGTCAACCATGATCGTCCCCATCCCGACATAGATAATCGACTAATCCTCTCCGACAATCTGGGACATGCGGCTCTTTTCCCGGGGTAACTACTGCAACTGCCTTCCAGACCATGTGGAATCCGTTCTCTTATTATACCTTGTTAGTAGTCTAATCGGGTCGCTTGAAGCAGCAGGGGCAACAAGTCAGCAGAGGATGCAGCAATTTCGACCCTCATCATTTTGTCGTATGTCGCACTCATAAGCCTTACACTTATTTAACAATCCATCCTCCCTCCTATCCATCCATCAGTCAGTCCGTCAGCCAATCCATCAATTAATCAATCCATCAATCCATCCATTGACTTGTACACTGTCTGTGCAAGAGTGGACGGATGCCCAGCTGTGCAAATTTCATCTCGCTTCGCCCAAAACAGGTCAGGCTCCTGTCAATGGACCAACACCCAAAAACTGGCCGGATCCTTGCCCCACATCTTCGAGCGTTTGATCCTGCAGCCTCTTTACTGATGGCACTGAGATCTGGCGGACGGACCGGGTGCTGGCCTCTCCCTTCCATGTCATTCAACGTGCTCCCTAGAGCGACTACCCTGCCATCCACGATTGTGGGAGGCGGCTGTTTGGCGTTGAGTCCAAGCGCGTTGGCGACGGGACGCCCTACCGGCCATCCGCACCCAGATACGAAGTGTCATTTGGCTGTCAGACGCCGCCTGTTCCTTGATCACGCTACTGTGTGTGGCTACCAACGTGACGGTTTGGACAAAGCCCATGTCGCGTCCAATCTCGCTCTCATCGCCGGGCAAGGGTGACTGTGCCTGTTGGTCTGGAGCCTCTTTCGTGAGCTGCCAGACGCTTTTCCAACGGCAGGATCCAGCTTCTCTCATGTAGACTCGTCCCCCCTCTCTTTTGTGGCGTGCAAGTGTCCGGCTCTCCCATCTCCTTTTGTCCTTCTTCCGCACCACATTCGCCGGCCAGACGAAGAAGAAAAGACTTCCGTCTGTTCAAAAATTGCCCACGGTGACAGCGGACTTGTACCCCGGACCTGGCCACGCGTGCCGATACCACCAGCCTATGTCTTCTTGATCCGATTTTTCCTATCGACTGTGCCGCGACAATGGGCTTGGGCTTGAGCCGATCCTCACAGAAACTGGCGATATGAAGATGTGCTTCAATTGATTATATTCCTATCCTAATTATTATACACTCGTTTGACTCCGGTGCCAAGTATCACGAAAGTGACTTACTTGGTCCGGGCTACCATGACCACTCCTGCTTCCCTTTCCTTGACCGACAACTTCGCATCATCTTCCTCAAGCAGAATTCTCACGGTCACAATCACCCGAGACGATGCCGCCACTTCTGCCATCACGTCCACACTGTCGTCCGAGTCGGCCCTCATCACAGACACGCCAACAACAGTCAGCAGTGACCTGACTCTGGTCTATGTCTTCACAAAGTCCGCCACGGAGGGCTCGTCCTCATCGGGCTCATCATCAGGCAGCAACCCCTCAGGCCTCTCAACGGGAGCAATAGCCGGCATAGTGATCGGCTCCATTATCCTGCTCATCGCCCTCATATTAGTCGTCTTCTGCACTTCAAGGCGTTTTGCCAGGAAAAGGCGCCGGGAGGAGGCCAGCCTACACCCCTCAAATCACCACCGCACGAGCCGCGCCGCCCCCAGCAGCAGCAGCTACCACCAAGCCCGGTCGCAGCGGTCGACAGTCTACTCGTCCCCGTCGTCCCCGCCACAGGAGTTGGCCACGCATTTCAACCGGCTCGAGGTCGACGGCAGGGGCAGGCCCGTCGAGGTCCTGGGGAGCTACAAACACCCCGTGGAGTTACACGCCGGGAGCACCACAGACCTGGTGGCCCACGTGTGGAAGGGGGGCAGGTCACCAGTTGTCCCCAGCAAGGATGAAGGGAGTGTGATATATATCATCCCTGCGCGGAGGGGAGACGATATCATCTCGGATGCGGGTAGTGCGCGTTGTTTAAGCCCTCCCGGCACGTGGGAGACTGAATCGTTGGGGGCGAGTGTGTCTGGTCGGTCACGTATAATACCGGGGCCGGGCACTCACGCGACCCCCTCGAAGGCCTCGTCGAGGGATACGTTGGGGTACAGCACCCACACAAAAGAATAATACGTTATCTGTCAATGAACATCAACAAATTTCAATGGGAAGTGAAATGCTACTTCTGGTATCTCTAGACGCCTTGTTTATCGCGGCATGTCCTGACCCCTAACGCCGCCGACGCCCATTTTTCCCAACCATGGTACCACGCCAGCAGCCTTGCCCGCCTGAAAGCTCCGTTTCAGTACACCGATATCACAGCTTTCCTCGCAGGTTCCTCAACTTCGGGTCCGTATCAACGCCGAGCGCGTCTCGTAGGTTGATGTCGATGCCCTCCCTCTTCAGCCGCTCGGTAAGCTTCAAGACGCAGTACCTGTACGAGTAAGGAAAAGACGCAGGTTAGACAGACTCTGTGCGCGATTACTTGAGAAAAAACAGGGAGGGGTGGTCGGTGGGTCGGAGCAGCCGCTGGAAAGAAAAAGAAGGGAAAGAAAAGCAAGCAAGAACAAAAGGGGGACCGTCTCCCACAAGTATTGGTGTGTTGTGATTGCCCTCACATGAAGTCCTCGTCTTCCGTTTCCTCCCCGTTCTCCCCGAGGGCCAGGCGCGCCGCCTCGTCTGCCAGGTTGATTATGTCGTGCAGGAGCTCGTCGGTCCGACTCCTAGGGGGCCTTTTTCACGTGTGCAAATTTCTCCACGGTCAGCATGTCTCAGATTCAAATAACGCTTCTTGGTCCGCGGGTGTTTTCGGGGGAAGGGGGGTGGGGGGACACTCTTGAGGTCGGTGGCCTTCTTAAGTTCCTCCCGAGAATCACTGCTTTCGAGGGTGAGAGGTTGGGGGGGGGGGGGGGCGAAGGGGCGGTTGAAAGTAAGAGAGCTTTCATTACATCTGAGCCTGCGCCCAATCTAGCGCTTGTAGATAGGTTCGCATGTTGCTTCGTGGGTTGTCCAGCTGGGGGGCGCCGTTGGCGCTGCTCGGGCCGGGGACGGCCGGTACGGGAGGGTTATTCGCTCGTGCCGGAGCGACAGGGCCGGGGTTACTGGCGCCGCTGACACCATTGTTATTCAGCGTGGCCATTGCCGGCTCGCTCGGAGCTGGACGCACCTGCACCCTCACCTCGCCGGGCACGCCGTCGATGCGAAGGTTCGTAGTCTGTGCCGGGGCGGCGGCACTGGGCGGGGCGGGCGTGTTGTGCACCAGGTTGCGCAGGAAGGTGTTGGCGTCCTCGCAGCCGTCCATGAGCCACTTGAGGCAGAGCTGGACGCGCTCGCGGGCGTAGCGGTTGTGGTCGTCGTAGGTGCAGCAGTTCAGCAAGGCCACTATGCCATTGTGCCGTACGACCTGGGCCTGCACCGTCGGGTTGCCTGGACTGCTGCGACCGGAGGGCGGCTGCAAGAGGGCCGCGAGTATCTGCAAGATCTGGCCCTTGACACCGGCCCACGGGAAGGTGTGAGCGGACGGGGTCTCTCTAATGTTCGGATGGGGCGGGGGAGGGGGAGGAGGATCGTGGGCGTCATAGTGCTCGGTGACCGACGTCGATGCCGCCGGATCTGCTGGACGATGCTGTGAGCGATGGGGCACATCAACGAGGGGCTTCTTCGGCACGCCAGCCTCGAGGCCCTTCAGGAGGGCCAAAAGATCGTATGCCGCCTCCCACTCGATCAGCTTGTTCCGCGTCTCTAGGTCGTCCGAGACTGTGGTGAGGAAATCCAAGAACTGCACCAGGCCATCCTTGGCACGTTCCATGTCCCAGTTATCGACAGGGAAATCTGCCGGATCCATAGCGTTGTCCCGAATCTGCGCCTGAAGGTTCATCAGAGCCACACACTCCGGTACGATACGGCTTCTGAACGTGATGAAAAAGAAGTGGACCAATCTTATCGCCACCATCTGATCTTTGTTCTCTTCGGCCGGTGGGTTCTTGATCCGTGCTCGAAACATGTAGTTGATGAGGCGGAGGAGGATTGTCTGAGCAGGTGACACAATGTCCTTGGGTATCCTCAGGTTGTTCCAGGCGTAAGGAATCAGAGCGCTGTGATGAATGGCTTCCACGATTTGACTCGTAATCTGGAAGATGAGGGATGACTCGTCTTTCTCCCAGACCGCAATGAAGACAAGCATCTCTCGTAGAAGGCTCTTCCCGCAGTCTAGAGCCAGGAACATGCGACACCGCGTCTTTTGCAGATTCTCGCCTGCCCTAGTCCAACCGCTGCCGGCTGCGTCCAATATGCATGACTTGACAATCATGTGCAGGGCTTCGATCTGCTTAGGATCGAGTATGTTGGGTACCTCTGTAAGGAGACCGGTCATGGGGCCCTCGCCGTATGAGTCGTCATCGTCCACGTCCTCGTCCTCCACCATGTCGTCCGCGTACTCCTCGCTGTATTCCTCGGGGGCATGCTGATCACCTTCCTCCGGGTAGTCGGCCTCGTGGACGCCCTCTTGTGGCGACCCTTGTCTTTCGTGATCTTCGGCGCGATATTGATGGGCGTACCGGTTGACGAGGTTCTCTTTGCAGTTCTCGGTTCGCTTTTGCGCAAACTCTACCGAGGGCATAGGAACCACCCAGTCATCAAAGTTTGCGTCTCGTGCCTTGATCCACCACATGTCGACCTCTCGGGACACGCGCCCATAACACCTGTCCTGCTCAAATTTGTCTGTCTCCTCGGGTTTCCATTGTGGGTTGATCTTGTCGTTATCCTCTGGATCATCCGCCCTGACCTTCACTGAGCCCGGAGGCAGCCAGTTCCAGGCCAAAGGTGATATTGGTGCCAGTGCACCAGGGGGCTTTTGAGAGCGGTTCTCGGCGTAGTCCCTCAGTAGGCGGCGGGCTGTGTCACACATCGTTGAGTTGCGTTCCAGCCAATGCTGGACCTCCGTTTTGGCAACGTCGACTCGAAATCCTAGCCCATCGCCAAGTCCATCTTGGGGGTCATCGAGTGCGGCATCCTCGTCGAACAGCACATCAAACCAGAATGACATCTTGTTCCGGTCATTCTTGGCAGTCCAGTTGTGGGCCTGTTGTAATGAAGTGACCAGTATCTTCTTGTCTGGACAGTACGTTAGTACGATATATGGCCATATGGTATGCCGTGGTTTCTTACAAAGCTCAGTAATCTCATTGAGCCTCTGCCTTGAGTTCTCATCCAAGACCTCGCCGTCGTAGCCCTTGCTCGTAACGTTGACACAAAGAATGATGGTCTGGTATACCATTTGATCGAAGTGGACTGCTGCACACAAGTCTTGCGGTACTTCGGGTTCTGTTGTCACAAGAAGGTTGCGGGCGATGTGCATCAGTTTGTTAAGAATCTGCAGGTCGTCCTTGAGGCCTTGGTAGTTCTTAACGATGAGAGCCGTACTCTCTTGAGGGGTCACGCCCTTGTCAGGGTCATTCAGGCTTGCTAAGGGACCGACAGAGCGCGTGGTCAGATTCGGAATGGCAGCAGCAAAGATCCTCGTGAGCCATATCCATATGGCGACATTTCTTGAGAGAGCTTCTCTGTGGTGTGGTTCAGCACGTGCAGCGAGACAAGATTGTAGGGCAGATGAATAACTCACCGGACTTCTTTGGACGCATGGGTCTTCTCCAAGGTGCGTGATACCATTGAGACGACCTTGGAATTGGTCTGAGGGCCCATTGCCGGCGAGTCCGTATAGTGGCCCTCGAGGCATATGAGAGCGGCGGCAAAACATCGCTCCTCTATTGACTCGTTCGAGGACGTGCTGCTGTGAGAACCGGGCTCAACCTCATCTGTCGCCGAGCCGAGCGCCATGTTTTCGGCTGTGGCGGCAGGAAGCAGCCCAGTCTGGTCGGAGGTGATTGAGTCCTCGATGCAGGTGGTAGAAAGGTGCGCCTTATTCGACGTCTCGTCCACAGTAACAGCTTCAGCAACGGATTCAACAGTTGCCGAGGTCACACCAAAAGCTGTCTCTGATTTCAAGGGGGCAGATCTGCTGTCCTGCGACCGGCTTTCGTGTCCGCAACAGGCGGGAACCGCAGTGGTATCTTCGCTGGGCGAGAGCAGCAAGGATAGTGAGCGTGATGTAGGGCAAAAGCTTGATGGTTGAGCATTTCCGATGGCAAACTGAAGGAGCTTACCAACCCATGCACTCCTGTAGGTGGGTAGTGAGGTCGGTAGGTACGAGGCGGCTTGAATTTTGCAGCGGATCCCCGCCTAAGCTCACACCGGTGTAGCGGCACCACAACTCCTTCAGCCCTACGGAGCGGGTGCGTGCCAGGCACCTACCTCGTACCCAACCTGCCACCGTTTTGTAGGTGCCCAGCCGAGACAACAATTCTGGATATTTCGACGGTATTCGCCAGGCTTACAGGTCCTAAGATCTGAGAATTCTCAATTACCAGGTCACAAAATCGATAAGGCGTACTTCTAAGGCCGTGTCTTGATTGGCCAAGATACGTCCCAAGGTCGGACATGAACTGATGTCTGCTTTCGTCCATTTCCATCGACAGCGACGACTCGTTCCCTCGCTCCGCTATCAGACTATCAGTGGGAATTGATGCCACAGTAATTCGAGTAGGGGTTTTTAGTAATCTTCTGGACAGATGACTTTCCAAATGACGTATTTGGCACTTTTAATCAAGATTTAATCTCTACTGGAAAAGAACACCAACAGTCCTCAATCTATTGATGCTTTTTGCCCCCATGACGCCGCCTCCAAGGTCATAACTGAGCACGGTCCGAGTCCTTGACACCTTCTCACACGGAAGGCACAGTGAACCTGCCGCTCTCGACATCCTTCTGTGCCTTAATCGATAGGTTGATGATCTCAGTAACCATGTGCTGCCTCTCTGCCTCGAGGAATGAGTCCTCAGCAGCATCGCCATACCAGACGGTCGAGTAGATTTCGATACCGTGTTCGCCCGCCTCCCCGACAACATCCCGCACCGAGATGTGCAGCACCCCAAACAGGGGGTCCTCGCTCTTGTCCTCGAGGACCTTGCTGCCCGCCGCCTGGAAGGGGAACTCGGGCAGGAGCCGCAGGAACGGGAACTGGACCCTGTTCGGGGGAGTGGCGTAGTCTGGGATGGTGAACAGCGTCGTCACGCCGCCCCATCCTTCCAAGATCGAGGAGAGCTTGCCCTGCCCCGTGGTGACGCTACGCTTGAAGTAGTGCTCCCCGTTCGCGTCATTGTTGCTCTCGTCGGCAAGTGGTGACTGAGACCACGCGGCGAACGCCAGGGCCGTCAAGTTCGGCAAGAAAGCAGTGCCCCTAGCGTCAGCCGGTATCCAGCTGCCCGAAGTCGAGTTCTGGATCACGTCCTGCCAGAAGGCGTCGGCAGCGGCAATGTCGGGCGCCAGGAGCTCCAGGAAGCCGTCAGCGTCGAACTCGGCCTTGAGGCGCCTGTTCTCGGTCCTCAGCTCGGCTAGGTCGTCTGACGTCGCGGGGTCGAGCCCCATGCGGGTCTTGAGGAGCTCGTTGGCGGTCTTGAGGCCCCGGATCTCGTAGGTGGACTGAGGGGCCGCATCTACCGGGCCCGAGTGCTCGAAGACGTATCCCTCGATGGTCTCGCGTACGACCTGCTGCGCTGTTGCGCCGGCGGCGAGGAGAGTGACGGGGAGAAGGGTCTTGAGTCGCATTTTTGACCAACTGGACAGGGGATGAACAGAGATAAAGGTGATGATAGGTGCAGATGGCTACACCACCTTCGATCTTGCTTCATGGTCTCACCATGGCCTTATATACCTTTGCTGGAAGTTCGTAAATTCTTACGCGGCGATCGTGTTATCCTCACGGCGTTCGGCATGGCCACAGGAGCGCCAGGGTAGTCACTTCGTATTGTCACCAACCTGACACACTTCTGAGCTGTGAACAAAGTCCAGAATGCCAACAACCCACCGTTGGTTGTCAACGATCATACTTCTTGTCCCTGTTGGTGAGTCGTTATGATGGCATTGCTCCCAAAGTCCAAGCATCCATTAGGCGCCAGGGCAATGTTGCTGGCTGTGTTCGGTCGTCTGCGAATCAGCGTGCTTGTGCTATGTAAGCGTGACTGTGCCTCCTGCAGGCGGCACAGGATTCACTCTAGGGAAGTCCGTAGGATAAATGCAAGGTCAGTGGCGCGTAAACGCGTAATGTAACGCAAAGAGAAAAAGGAATTAGTACCCCTTGCAGGCACGGTGCAGCCGGGGGTAGCAGGGAGTATAGAACGATCAGTCTGCCCTGGGAGATCATCTACCCTGCCTAGATCCAGCCGTCTTGGCATGTGAGATGCCTTGTGCTGTGGCTGCCCGGTTCCAAGCTGACATTGTGATCGGGATTGAGGCCGCCGCTGGGGAGCTTGAGTGCCAGAACGGTGATGATGCGGCGTTCTCCCGTGGCTACCACGTGGGCGGCTGACTGGCGTCGTGACACTTGGTGGGACGGGTGGAACAGAGATCTATCTGGTCTGTCTCCCTAGGCTGGGTAGAAGTTGTGAAGATGTTTAATGCCTCACGCCGAGGGGGTCTTGTTAGAGAAAAAGTGTAAAGCTCTCAACCCCTCCATTAATTTTGGAGGGGCAACTTCAACGGCGGGCTGCTAGACCTTTCCTCGCTTGAGCCTTGCGCAGTTTCCTTGCTTTTCACGATGACCACAGAGCTTCCAGACAAGTATGACCGTAAGAAGCCTTCATAAATCTCCCCTCGATCTGCCATCCCATGAGACGCACCGCTGACCTGGCCAGGGCCGGTCCACGTCGCCGTGATAGGCGGCACCGGCCTCTCCAAGATCGATGGCTACGTGCCCGTCGCGTCCGTCAACCCCCTGACGCCATGGGGCTACCCCTCGGCCCCGATCCAGATCCTCGAGCACAACGGCGTGCCCATCGCCTTCCTCTCGCGCCACGGCGCCCACCACGAGCTCGCGCCCCATGAGGTGCCCTCGCGCGCCAACATCGCCGCCCTGAGGCACGTCGGCGTGCGCAGCGTCATCGCCTTCAGTGCCGTCGGCTCCCTCCAGGAGCACATCAAGCCCATGGACTTTGTCGTCCCCGACCAGGTCATCGACCGCACAAAGGGCGTGCGCCCCTTTACCTTCTTCGAGAAGGGCCTCGTCGGCCACGTCGGCTTCGCCGACCCCTTCGACGCCAAGCTGGCCGCCGTGGTCAAGGCTTGCGCAGGCGCCATGCAGGGCGAGGGGTCGACTCTGCACGACGGCGGGACCATCATATGCATGGGTGAGTCGGGTGCCTGCCCAGCTAGCTACGGAACCCTCCCAAACCAACGACAAAAGGGATTTTGCCCAGCCATCAGTAACCTCAGCAACTGACTGCCTACCAACAGAGGGTCCCCAGTTCTCCACCCGCGCCGAGTCCAACATGTACCGCTCCTGGGGCGGCAGCGTGATCAACATGTCGGCCCTGCCCGAGGCCAAGCTCGCGCGCGAGGCCGAGCTGTCCTACCAGATGATCTGCATGGCGACCGACTACGACTGCTGGCGCAGCGCCGCGGGAGGCGAGGACGTCGACGTCGCCATGGTCATGGGCTACATGAGCGCCAACAGCGTCAACGCCAAGCGCCTCGTCGGCGCCGTCCTCGACGAGCTGTCCCGCCACGAAAACAGCAACCTCGTCCTCGCGAAGCATTGGGAGGGCGCCAGCGCCGGCGCCGTCAAGTTCATGACCAAGCCCGAGGGCAGGGACCCGGAGGCCATGAAGAGGGTCGAGTACCTGTTCCCAGGGTTCTGGGAGAGCTGAGGTTCTGGATGGAAGTGGTAGGAGGGAGACAGAACTAGGCCTCGGCGGTGACGCTGCTCTTGTCCATAGTTTTGCTTGGGCCTGAAAATATGTCTCGCCTGGTATGCAATGCTCCGAATGCACATAGACCAAAACAAGCGTAGGAAGATAGATTATAGATTCAGGACATAATTGTCTCTTCAAGTCCCCGTGGCTCCAGTCACGTTCCGCGGCTGGGGACTATTTCATGTGCGGAGTACAAGATTGAGCGCATTGAATGTGGCTCTACAAATTGTTTGCTATGCATGGTATCCTACATTGTGACTCTAGAAAACAGTTTTGATGCTCAGTGCTTCTTCTCCAAATGCCTTTGCGCCAAGTCAGGTACACGCCCAAAACAAGAACGTTGCAACAAAATCCGTGATACAATACTGTTGAACGTTTGTCTCCCCTATATCTCACATCAACTGGTATAGCGCTTCTACGCCCTTCTCGGCCGCTGCCACGTGCCACGGCCTCACATCGCCCTCCTCATCGGTCACCGATCTGGCCCTTGCGATGGTGCACAGTCCCCGGAAGTAAGTCAGCATCTCTCTAAGAAGCAACTCATGCATCCGTGGGTTCCCCTCGCTGTGAACCACGTTGACCTCCAGGATGGTGGGCGGGTCCTCTGTGTTTGAGCCTCCCCGCTTGATCAGGTAGCCGCTGATGAGAGCTGGGTTGGGTTCGACCAGGGAGTGTGAGACGTTCAGCCGGTGCGAGGCTATTGCCGCCCAAACTGTGTCGGTCACGTCCACAAGGCTTGCGTCAGTGTCGGCCTCGGAAGTGTTCGCGTCTGCACCTGGCGTCGTGGCGTTCTGCGAGGACGTCGGACCCCCTTTTGGTGTTGCCGGGTTTCCAACTTGCTCTGGGGAGACAATGGACGATTGAGGGGTTGAAACTGGTGTTGAGTAGAATGCAGATTGTGCAGTAATGGGTATTTTGGATATCGCGGGGATCAGTTGCAGAGACGGATTGGTGTCTACTGCCAAAAGAGTGAGGGTGACAGAGGCCTTGGTCTCTATCTGTGCCAGCGTGGTCCAATCGCTGACCTCCTGCTGGTCCATCGGCCCAACTTTGGTGACGATTATGCGCCAGTGCACTTTCCAGATGGATATCAGGTCAAAGGTCGTTGTCCAGATTTCGTGGGCCACATCAGTAAAGCTTCTCGACAGTGGCTTGCCTCTTCTTCCCAGGCAGTACGATGCAGTCATTTGCTTGGAACCACGATTGTCCGACCAAGCAGCTGTGATCCATCTCTCATCCACACTCTGTGCGTACGCGATGTGCATTGCCGAGTTCTCCTGAAGTATGTTCGCGGAGGGCGGATTCCTTATCTGAAAGTCGATTCCGCGGGTTATGGGTTGCTCTAGGACGATAGCTGGTGACGGCATCGGGCCCCCAAACAGTGTACAGCGATCGTAAGTCTCGAGACAGAGTCGTATGTGCTCAAACGGCTGAAGAACCACAAGTGAAGCTGACGTGGCGATGTAGTCTAGGGGGACAAGCTGGAGCACAAGCTCATTCTGTGCCGGCTTCTTCCTCTCCGCCAAAGCTCTTTTGTATATATCAAAGAGCCTCTTGAAAGCGGCGCAGGCGTCAACGATTGTCTGAGGGTTGTCAGGTGTGTAGACAAAGTAGATGACGAAATTCTTGGACACGGCTGTTGAGTTGAAGATAGCCACAGCAAGTTTGGCCATGTCCTCGACCAAGGGTGATCTGAACTGAGACCCCGGGGATGACACTGGGGCGTTATTCGTCCTGTCGACTTCGTACGAAACGAGGCCATTCTGCACGTTCGCCGACGACGGCATCCGTTCGAAACTACCCAACTTCAGGGATTCGTAAACATTGTGAAGACGCTCTAATAGGATACCAGCGAAGTCGGCTACACCGTCTAGACCAGGAAAGACGCAGACAGCATGCACATTCTTGGAGCCCTGCGATGGCCCGAGCCCGAGGGTCTCCCAGAACCTGACTGCAGACGGCAAGACAGACAATCTGGACTCTTGCCTACGCAGCTCAAGGTGTGGCGGAGGAATCTGGACAAGACTCGGTCGTTGTTCTGGCCCACCCGCTGGGCGTGGCTGCATGCGGCTAGGTGCCGCGAGGAATGGAACGTCTTGTATTTCCAGCAGTTGACGGAGCTGGCATACCGTCGCACTTTGTAGATTTGGGGGCAATATGGCCTGCAGTGTCCGCAATGAATTTTGTGTACCATGGACAATGTCTCGTTGCAGATCAGTCGACTGAGGACCGGCAGGTACTGAGTCTGGTAGGGCAATCTTGAGGCAACCAGAAACTGCCTGTTCTGTGAGTATTTGGGCGACCATAATGAATTCATCATCGTTGGAAATCGGTCGTTGAGATGCTGGCTCCGCGTCGGCGAAGTAGCGCGCGATCGACGTCTCAGAGTGGTCATTTATCGATAATTTGGACAAGTCCGTACTGCTCAGACTCTGGGAATCATCCATGAAATCGATGTCTCTTATCGACGGGGCCAGTGATTCGTTGTCATCACCAAGCCGCCGCCGCCGCACACTCAGTTTGGTGGGAGATGATGGCTCTTCGGAGAAGTCACTTGCATCGTCTTGGTCTGAAACTAGACTGACTTCATCGGCGTCGGATGTTGAGTCCTCATACTTGATAGAATCAAGCTGCATGCTGCTTTCCAGTGCCCCCGTGGCATCAAGACCTCGACTACTCGCATTGGCTGGCAGGTCTTTCAGTGTAGCGCGTGGCTTACCATGCCGCCGCAGATAGTCTGTCGTCGGAGGCGAGCCAGAACGCTTGGGTATATTCTCTTCATTGTCCCATTGGAAGTCGAACCTGCCGCTGTGCTCGTACTTCTTGTTCACCACGGATAGAGAGGGATCAAACTGAAGCTTGTCGTAAACACTGCCTCGGCGAAGCGGTAGATTGATGGAATTCGCGTTGGTCCGAAAACCACCTGCAATGGATGCCTTCAGCCTCTTGTAGACGGCTGTGGGATCAAAAGGGCTGGGCTGCCTTTTGACACCGTTTGATGGCCGTACCTTGGTGCTATCACGTTGGCGGCTTTCGCCTATGATACTCCTTGCGTGCTTCAGCTCTGGTTTGGCGAATACAGGAGGAGCCGGCAAATCGTTGGTCTTGGGTGTTCCAAGTTCTGGAGGCTTCTGAGGGGTGGGCACCGCGAATTGGTCGGCAGAGCTCAAGTTTGGCATCCCTGCGTTCAGGTCCGAGAGATCAGAGACACTGACGTCCATCGAGCCAGGATGCTCGTCGAAAAAGTTGAAGTCTGCATCCGTGATATCGTTGTCAACAAACACATCATTGTTGAGTTCCCAGTTCTCGCCTTGGATGAAGGACTGATCTCGCTTGGTGTCAGAGCCATCCCATCCTTCGCCAAAAGTATCACCCAGACCTGCTGAAGCTGCCATTGATGTGTCAATGTCAACGAGTGCCGCTGACGGTGCTGGATTTCCAGGACTGGATGTGGTTCCGTCTATGGACGGAGTAATGCCCGCCGCAGTTTGCACACCGTCAGGTGGCGTAGGATACATGGCACCACCGGCCCCGTTGTTGCTTGCTCGACGCATGTCAAAAGGTGAGGATCCATTGTTCTGCTGCAGCAGGCGAGGATTAGCTTCGCTGCTGTCTTTCGTTGCGGCCGCTTCTCTTTCGTTCTTCTTCTTTGCCAATAGCTCTTCCCGATCACTGCTCCCAATGAACCAGGTCTTGGCATGATTCAAGGCATCGAAGCCATCCCTGAGACTGATTCCCCCGGGATCGACAGTGCAATTCATCGCCAGAGGGCTCCTCGTCCTTTTTCGGAAACAAAGCACTGCTGGCCACAGTATGTGTGTTTGCGAATTCACAACAGGAGTGCGCTTGCCGTCTGACCTAGATTCAACTGGCTTCCGTCGCAGGTATTGAATGCTCAACCAAGAAGACCTGCTTAATATAGTGGTCGAGATGCCTCTCATTTCAAGCAGCTTACAGCATGTAGTGCGCCACTGGCCGGACCTCGCGTCCACATCTGGCCTAAAACGTGTGATTTGTGTTTCAGGCGATTGAGCCGCGCTGTCATCGACCGAGCTTCCGTCGCCATCTGTCAATCCCTGGAATGTGCCAAAGACTCCGAAGGGCGCAGCAAGAACAGTAGCGCCAGCTGGTGGTAGAGACGAATTCAAGCCATCTGCGCCGGCATGTAGGCCTTGTGAGAAAGACAGCGAGACGCCAAGGAGGAGTGAGCCTGTGGTGGTCAGATGCACCCTCAGAGACGCTATTATTGGAGCAGCCGCAAGCTCCAAGGACTCTGAATCGGTCGAATTAGACGGTAGGATGAATGACCTTGAGTCCAGCGGAATGGCACCGGTCTTGGTACAGAAGCGTTGTGATAAACTGGTCAAGACCGCCGCGGTGAAGAACTCATATATGTCTTTTGCCGGTATAGACCCGTAGCCTTTCGAGTCTACCGAGAGACCGACGCTTGACTTGGTATCTGCCTCCACCGGGAAACCTGTGGCGGTGATCGCGCCTCCTGTGGGTTGCGTACCTCGAAGCGCGTTGTCGAGCGCGGATCCGCTGGGCGATGAAGACACAGGTGTGCTGAGCGTATTGGGAGTGGCGTTTCGATTCTTGAGCAAGCTGATCGGCTCGAGACCGCCTTCTTCTGCCATCGCAAGCTTGTAGCCGCACACATCGAGGTTCGCGTCAAGGGACGGCTGGGCCGGAAGCCCTATGGTAGACCCGTCCACCGCAGTGAGTGAGAAGCACCATATGACTCGCCGAATCGGGTCGGCATAGACCAGGTGTCCCCCATTTCTGAGTGTGCATTCGACGTCGGAAGCGGAAAAGGTGTAGGGGGAGGCGTGTGTGATCACAGGCTCGTAGATCTTGAAAGCGACAGAGGAGACGTTGTTCTGGGCGGAAAGAGCACGCAGAAGTCAGCGGAGGCACGCGCCAACGATGCGAAGGGTCGGCGGGAGCAACTCACAATCAATAACGTATTAGTATCATATTCCCCAGGGTCCATTTCGTAGTATCGAGTCCCTCAGGGGGGAGACAGCCTCCCTTCATGAGGCACGTGGAAATCGGCCGACCTCCCAAGCGAGTGTCACATCCGGGATCTCGTGGAAAGCCCGGCGCTGGTTTTGCGAACACAACGTCTCATGCGACAAAGGCTCATGGATCTGGCCCGGTCTGGTCTGCTGGAAGCCCTCGGAGGGCCACAGTCCATCTCAGTTGGACCAGAGGCGGATATCGTGAGACACGCGTGATGGGCAGGAGTACTAGGTAGTTGTTCCCAACGGCTAGAACAGCGAGCCAACCGCGGGGGTTCCCGACCTTGTGCTGTGCAGTTCGAAACTTGGGTACAGCGCCTCGAGCTAGGGATGCACGGGTCCAGCAGGCAATTAATCGTACAGTTCGGGGAAGCTTCCGGCCAGGCGACGGGGCGCGGCTGGGCAGGTCGGACTAGAAGGGGCTGGCCGTTGATGTCTGGACATCGATCGCCGCGGCTCTCTTTTAGAGTTCAGGCTGGTACCGTGCTGCTGAGCCCTGGGGAAGGGACGTAGCTCGTGCTGCTTGGCTTGCGTGCACCTGGAAGCAGGGGTCCCTCCTTACTGCCCAAAGGGTGGGGCCAGGGCCACCCGGGGCTCTAGACCGGGTAGTCTGGTAGTCTCGTAGTCTAGTTTTTGGTGGGCCTAGCGAAGATCGATAAGACCAAAAAGTACTGTCGATAAGAATTACTTTCTGAGCCTGCGTTACAGGTGATTTTTCCGCCTCTTTTTCTCGAACAAGCCTCGCCACGCTTTTGTTGCGCCAACTTCTGCCTTGCCAGTCCGCAGCTGTGCGTTTCTCCTTCGACCAGCGGCTGCGAGAGAGCATGAAGATCACCACGCCTGGCCTTGTGCCAGTTTACACGGTCTCGGGCGCATCCACAGGCAGGCCGCTGCCAGACTGGCTTGCCCGCAGAAGGAAGAGGAGTCTGAAATATGACCCCGAATATTCAAGTCGAGTCGAACTGCTCCAGGACTTCGAGTTCGAGGAGGCCAGTGTCTGCGTGAGGGTCTCCGAGGATGGCCAGTGGATCATGAGCACGGGCACATACAAACCGCAAATACACACCCACGACCTCAGCCAGCTCTCCCTCAGTTGGGACAGACACACCTCGGCCCTCAACCAATCTTTCGTCCTCCTGAGCCAAGATGCCTCCAAGTCGCTTCACCTCCAGTCCGATCGCAAGCTCGAGTTCCATACCTTGGCTGGATGTCATCACGAAATAAGGTTGCCACGGTACGGCCGAGATCTTGTTTACGACCGCAACTCGTCCGAGGCCCTCGTCGCAGCCACAGGACTGGGATCAAATGGAACAGGAGAAGTCTTCCGTATGAATCTTGTCGAAGGCAGGTTCATGAAGTCTTACGAGATTGATGTTGGTGGTGACGACGGGATCGAGTCCGGCTTGCAGGGCAGTATTGAGGCTGGTTGCGTCAGTTCGGCCGCCGTCGCCGAAAATACCCACAACTTGCTGGCTTTCGGCACATCCAAGGGCTCAGTGGAAATGATCGACCCACGGGTCAGGTCTAAGGTAGCTGTTCTCGAAGGTCTGGAGGGACAGGTGACAGCCTTGGACTTCAACACTTATTCCGGACTTTCTCTGTCCATAGGCACGAGCCAGGGCATATGCTCCGTTTTTGACCTACGAAGGCCAGTCCCTCTTCTTCGAAAAGACCAAGGCTTTGGTTACGCTATCCAAAACATTCTACATCTCAAAACAGCATCCCAGGAGAGGAAGATCTTGACATCAGACAAGAAAATCATCAAAATTTGGGACGAGACGAGTGGCGAAGCCTGGACGCATATAGAGCCCACTACCGATTTGAACTGCGTTCAGTGGGTCAAGGATACAGGCACACTTGTGACTGCCAACGAAGGCAAGCAGCAGCACGTGTTCCACATTCCATCCCTGGGTTCAGCACCAAAGTGGTGTGGATTCCTGGACAATATGGTGGAGGAAATGACCGAGGAAGCCCGCACAGAGACATACGACAACTACAAGTTCTTGACCCTACCGGAGTTGAAGGCACTCAGCCTGGATCATCTTGTTGGAACCCCTACGCTCCGCCCGTACATGCACGGTTACTTTGTCGACACGAAACTGTACGAGCAAGCGCACCTGGTCGCGAACCCGTTCGTGCTCGAGGAGGAACGTCAAAAGAGGATCCAACAGAAGGTGGAGAAGGAGCGTGCAAGCAGGATTCGGGGCACCAAGAAAGTCAAGGTCAACCAGAAACTCGCCGACAAGATCCTTGCGCGGCAAGAAAAGAGAGAAACCGTGGATACCAATGCAGGCGTCCTTGGGGACGAGCGTTTCGGCAAGCTCTTCGACGACGAAGACTTTGCTGTCGACGAGACGAGCAGGGAGTTCAAGATGCTCAACCCTAGCACAACGGCCGGCGCGCAAGCAGGCGCAAACGGTGCTCGAAGGCAACGTGTCGATTCTGAAGAAGAGTCGGACGAGGACACTGGAAGTGAACAGCACAGTGAACCGATCCAACAACAATCACAAGGTGTCTCCATGCGAGTCTCATCATCCGGCCAGGCTGGTAGAAGTAAGGATGTCGCTCTCGGCTCACGCGTGCAGAAGAATGGCCGCGTGGGCAAGATTTCGCAGGGTGATGCAGTGGGCGAGAGATCAATTACTTTCGTGCCAGAATCCAAGAAAAAGCAGAAGCCCGAGCAGCCTGCCTCTGACAACAAACGCTCAGCGCAAAGACGGAGTGCCAGCACGAATACCTTCAGGAAACTATAATACATCTGGCTCATACTTATATTATCCGGCTCAATTACACCCCTGAACTTCATTCTGCTCCGAGTGGCATCAAGGCCGATCCATAAGCCCATTCTGAACCACTCATGCTCTCATCAGACTCGCGACCAAGGGACATGTCGCTTCGAAGCACCTCCCCCGCTTCCCATCCGCTTGTGATGCCCCTACTTCCGATGGAAGTACTTCCGCTTCACATCGACCTTTGCAGCCAGGCCTTTCTCGAGATCCTCCGGCTTCAAGCGCGGAGTGGGTGGAATCTCGTCTTCAACCCGGCCACGTCCACCCCTTGACTTCGTCGGCTGTTTCTTTACAGACTTCGGGAACTCGGAGCGTCGTGGTGTCAGTGCTGTGACCACCTTCTTGGCCGACTTGCGAACGGTCTCGCGGACTTTCCATTCTCTCTTCTTCGCGAGATAGAAGAGTGTTCCAGAAGCGACTGCACACGGTTAGCACAAGCGGCGGAAATGAGAGATGGGAGTGCCTTACTGCCAAGAAGTGCAACAAATACCACGATTAGGATGATGGCGATCAGCGCGCCTTGGGAGATTTGAAAGTTCCCGCTGCTGCTGCCAGACGCCCCGGCGTCATTGTCGGGACTGCCATCGGAACCTGCGTTCGCTGTCCCCGCGGTATTGTCGCCTCCACCGGTGTATGGGTCGCTGGTTGCGAGCGGGAAGGCCGCAGACGATGTCGCAGCCATGATTGTGAAGAGCACACGACAAAGGCCGCAGGCTACGAAATTCGAAATACCGTCGCAGACGGAAGACGCTACAAGGAGATGCTCGTCAACCCTGCGAGCGGAGGGGAATGTGGAGGGGAGACTTGAAGGGACTGCAGTCGAAGGAATCCGGAGAGAGAGTAGGGTATGAATACGCCCCGACATTGTTTCACAGAGCGCGGAGCCGCTCTATTTAGATACCTAGATCTACAGTCACACATCAATACCCATATGAAATACCACGCTAGGCGTCGCCCTCAGTCTGCAGAAGGCAATCGTCACGGAAAGACAAGGGCGCATGTGGACATCGTGGGTGCTGCCAAAGAAAGCAGTGCATATGCATGCACGCTGGACCCTCCTCGGCACTTGGGCAACCCGATGTCAGTGGTGCCGCCATTGGCCGCCCAAGAAGTGCCAGGTGAAACTGACAGCTCTTTTGCAGGCTGTGTTTCTGTCATTGGCGAGGGCCGGTGCGGCTACGCGCCCGTCCTTGCGGATCTCTTCACAGTACCCCTGAGTTGGGCCGGCCCGCTTCGGCCAATAAGAGCAAAGGGGCTGGGATGCCGGGGTGCTTGTAAGCGCCGTGCCCTTGACTTCAACTCTTGAGGGTGGGCGACTTTCTCACCAGTGTATTCTGCGGATCTGGGTCGCGTAAATCTCGTCACGATGCTAATTCTCTTCCATTTCCCCGCTTGTCAGTCAGAATCTGCCAAAGCTGCTGCATCACACCCGGGCAGTCACGATTCGGGAACGTTGCAGGGTGTCCAATGTGCCCTTCTCGTCGTCGTAGTCGTCGTCGTGGGACTCGCAATCACAAGGGCTGACTCACAGTCGCAGAACGGCAATGGGCTTGGGTTAATATCTGCTCGTGCCGAGCTGCATACTTGGTAGAAATCTACTGGCTCTTGCAGGCCTACCACTGTGACCACGTCGAGACTGGGGAAGCACCAAAAAAAGATGCTCGACCAAGACAGCCCGTGTCAGCCAAGTGCCACTTACCGCCGGGCGAGATTCTGGGGTACGTGCAATGCAAATTGCCTACGTCCCTACCCGGGCGAAGTTTTATACCCCGAAACGGCCTCACGTTGCTTTGGCGACTCTTGCTTCTTTGGCCGGTGGACTCGTTTGGGTAAGACAAGGTCCGTAAGCGAGCGGGTACTGAGGGATCTTCTCTCCTGCCAGATGAGCTTGACGCGAAGCCCCGGTAAAAGACTATGAATAGTATCAGGCGAGCTCGTTTTTAGACTACATCGTGTTTCGGGCCTCGCAGCGCCTAATCTGAGATGGTTTGTTGTCGCGATTTGCTTCACGTTTTTCTGTCGACTGCTGAGGCGGCTGGCCATGTCCGGAATTGCTTCTCCCAGGCTGCGCAGCCGGATGGCTACGTTTGACCATTTTCTCCTCTGAAGAATGTAAGTGCTGACAAATTGACAGCACTATGAGCCCATCAGCTGCATATCTAGCTATTACGTGGCCGTCATGTTGGCTACTTCTGCGAGGATGGACGAAGCAGTCCAATCCCGATCAGAAGTAGGATGAGGACTTCGACGACACCACTTCGACTTTTTGCAACTGGTAGCGCTGTGGTGAATTCCTCTCGCCTGTCCCACGAATCGAATACTCGAGGCCAGACTATACGGTTCGGTATCATCTTAATGGTCGTCCCAGTAACCTGGGTGTGCCAGCTGAAGTCGGTGATGGCGAGAATGGTCGAATACCACTTGCAGAATCAACTGTCTCCAAAGTCGACATTGAGATTGCCGAACTACTCAGTTTTAATGCCTAGGCACTATTTAATTCAATGGGGACCCCAGGGCAGTCATGAATCCTCATATCTCCAGCGGCTGACCAGTGGTTGGGGAGTGGTTCCTTCCCTGGAAGGTGAAGCCGTCACAGTACCTGCCTACTCTCACGACAGCACCCACCGCAAATACGTTCCTTCCCTTCTGTATCTTCTTAGCGTCTGCCTGACTACTTTTCGCTGTGACTCCAAGGAAAAGCCTGGAAGTTGTGCTTCGTCCCTCACAGCACACCAAAGTGCAGCTCATGACAAAAGCCCTTGTCTTCTCAGCTTCCGTTCAACTGTCCATCAGATCCAACGGGACAACAAACCTACGATATTGATTTTCACACGTCATTGTTCCCTTCCGATCAGCCCTTCGCCTCACTGCGTCCTCGTTCCATTGCTGTCACGGTCTGCTTGCCCAGCATGGAGGCGAGCTTGCCCGCCTCCCACAACAGTCCTGGGCCGCCGGACATGTCCTCTCACTCTCATGGAACTACCAAGGACAAAGATGCCCAGGAGTCTATGACTCTGCATAATGCCCTGCCTCCTTTGCCTGAAACCCAAGGTGATAGCCCTGAGAATGACCTCTCGTCACCGACTGAGCGAGAGGGAGGCGTTCAATTGCTGTCTCGGCCGCAAAACTTGGACATTGACCCAGGTGAGAGCTTCTTCTGGGCAAAGCCGGTGAAGATTGTTCCTGGAAAATTCGGCCGCCCGGTTCCTGCAAAGTCGACGGCCCATGCCACTTCTGTTGTTATCGACAATCCGAACAGCAAAGCCCCTGACGCCGTTGCAACCGGCTCTGTCCAGTCGACTCCTTTCGCCACTAGGCAATTTGGTCTGGTCGTTTCTCCCAACTCGAGACATCTTCCTGTTGAAGATTCATCTGGCGCAGTTCTTCGCAGCATCGAGGGCAGCCTGGCCTCCGAAGAGAACATCCAGCCCGTTGCAAACGATGCTGGACATCTCACTCGAACCCAAACCTTTGCAAGGCGTCCTCCTTTCGAGGACTATCAGCCACAATACCCACTTCCAGAGGGTAGAGATCAAGCACCTATGACAAAATCTTCTCATGCTCGCCAATTGCTCAATCCGGAGGGTTTGAGCATGGCAGAGGCACAAGGCCATGGCGTCCCTCAATTCAAGGGACAAGTGCCTCATCAAGACAAATCATTCAGTGAGCAGGGAAGAGGAAGTCACCACTCAGTCCACCAGCGCCTGCAGCAAGATCAGCCTTCAGATACTGTCCAGGCCAACGGGCCGAGACATCGCATTTCGTTGCCAAATGACACCTCCGTTTCCCCAGCCCAACTCCCTCAACAATTACCGCGAGAGACATCTCAGCATCAAGCACTGCGCGAAGGTCTTGTTCAAAAGAAAACGCTCGGAAAGTCTCCACCTCTCAATCTCAACCGGCCCATGAGGGACGTCCGTCAATTATCCAAGACCAAGACCCCAACCCATTGTCCATCATCTCGCTCATCTATGCGCGGATCAAACATCAGCAAAAGGCGGTCGCGCCCTCATCCATCCGCCTCGGGCAGACCTCGTCCCTCGCGCCACCAGGACTCCCGCCACCCTGATGACACACCTTCTATCAGAAGACGGGATCCTCGAGCTGCGGTGAACTACCACAGTCCTTCACTTGAAGATATTCAGCAGTCGTACGAGTCACCTGAGATGGATGTGGTTGCGGGAAATCTTGCACAAGCCTTAAACAGTCATTTTGAGATGATGAGAAGTGGATGGAGGCGAAAGGACCAAGAGATCTCCTATCTTGAACGCAACATTCGAAAACAGGAACAAAAGTTGTCAAACTTCCAGAGACAGAGTGAAGGCAAGTCCGGAAGGATTCAGGAACTTGAGGAAGATCGAGTTCGCCTTCAGGAGCAACTCGAGTCTGCGAATCAACATCTTGAGGATCGCTCAACCAAGCTGTCTGAGCTACAGAAAAAGTGTCGAACTTACAAGGAGCACCTGAACTCGGCCACCGCGGAGCAGCAAGATCTGTACAAGGCTGCCAAGACGAAGTGCGAGACTGCTATCAAGCAGATGCGAGAAGAAGAGCACAAGCGGAAGGCGCTGGATGAGCAGCAACGAAAAGACCTGCAAGCGACGCGTGAAAGGCTCACTCAGATTGTCAAATCAACGGTGGCCGAGTATAGTTCCAAGGAACGAGAATGTAAGTTCTGGTCTTGCAGACAACTTTTCTTCACAAGCTGATGAACACCAGTCAACAACAAACTCGACTCATTACATCAGAGAATCCAAGAGCGGGAAGCCGATGTCAAGCGAGAGCAGGAGACTATTCGGGGTCTCCTTGAGCAAAATGCAACCGTTGAATCAATCCAAGGCGCAGTGAAAACCTTCGAGGCGCAGATTGAGCAGATCACTGCAAAGCTGGGAGAGCTTGCGTCTAGCCAGGTCGAGCGAGACGGAGCAGCAGCCGAAGAGACCCATGCCAAGTGAGTCTGCGGTTTCCTTCTTGACATTAGCCAAAGGCTGACCAAGCAGACTTGACAAAATCGTTGAGCATTTGTGCGCCCTTGACAAACGGGTTGAGCCACAGGCAAGCATCATCGAGAAGATACAAGAAGCCAATGTGCAGACATTTTCCACGTAAGTCACTATATATTATATGCTGGCTATATGCTGACTGGATTTGTAGTATGCTCAACCCAGTGCTCAAGTCGCACACAGAGATTCAATCCAACCTGCAGAAGCTGTCTGATGCCGTTGAGGACTATATGGAAGATTTCTGGATGAAGCTCGAGGATCGTGAGGATGTTCTCACGGAGCTTCTTGAGCAGACCCAGGCAGACAACGCCCAGCTCCAAGCTGATGTGCAATTACGAGAGGACGAGTGCAAGGTTCTTCTTGACAATTTGGAACAAGCTGAAGTCACGAATCGACAACGTGAGAAAGACCTCGAGGGCCTCAAGAATGAGATCGCGGAGCTAGAACAGGCTCAGGCCAACGACATGGAACAAGCCGTACGAGCGAAGTCGCTCCATGAAGATTGCGAGAAGCTGAAGGTGGACGTCGCCGGAAAAGCCGCACTTACCCGTAACCTCGAAGTTAGACTTCAGCACAGTCAGGCAGCGCTCCTTAACGAGACGGAACAGCACAAGAGGCACACCCAAGAGCTGCAAAGGTTGATGGAGCAGCGCGAGGAAGCAGCACGTGCTGCCCAAGAAGCCGCAGTTCAGGTGGCTCGGCAGGAAGTTACACGCGATATGGGAATTGCTAAAGAGAACATCAGCACGCTTCTGAAACAAGTACAGACAGAGAGCACTGCACTGAAAGACGAACTCAATGCGGCGAAGCAACAGGTCTCGATGGTTGAAGAAATGAACAAACGAGCCGATACGACAGTTGACGAGCTAAGATCTGAGCTGGCGACAGCACAAACTAAAGCGAATAGACTTGGCGAAGAGGCAAATGAGAAAGACATGGAGATTCGAAAGGCCATTGATCACAGGTCGGCGCAAGTCACTGACCTCGAAGCCAAGCTTGCGCGCAAGGAAAGAGAAATCACCCAACTGTCAGAAGACGCCCAAATGTACGACAAGCAAGTACAGAAGGCTCTCGACGGCCTGAAGGAGTGGACGAAAAGCCATCACGCTGTGAAGGGCTTTGTCTCTGAACTCGGAAAGGCCCAAGATGGTGATCTCAACGGTATCGACCCCAAGCTAAAAGCGTTCCTTGAAATCGACATCCTACATGAGGCCATCTTCCAGTATTGTCAAGCTCAAGGAAGGTCGGCCCCAATGGGCGACCAAGGTATAGCAGGAGAGTCCACTACCAGCAAGGATGTCTGGGCAGACCTGCCGCCTAATAGCCCACAAAAGCAAATGCCACCGAAGAACCTGGCCACGAGAGTGCTGGATCAAGTTGGTCGTCGTGTGATAATCAGAAGTCCAAGTCAGAGTGCACCTTCCCCAATTCCTCCGTCAGTGTCAGCAGAACAAGAGCACAGACGATCAGCGAATCCACCAAAGTCTATCATGAAAGCAAGCAGCCAAAGCACCATTATTGAGGACGAAGACCTTGCTGAGCCAAGAGGTGTCGCCCAATCCTCAAGTCTGCCTAGCCGGGGGTTCTTTGGACGCAGAACCTATAAGACATTTGCTCTTACGAAATCAGCCCGTGGAGGAGATGGAGAGCAAGGAGAACAGGATGTTCAGGACAAAGGCACCTTCACTCGCACTGATTTCACCCGCGCACCTTACAACAGACCTGTTTCAGGTACCACTCGAGCCGAGAGCGCCATCACGGGCGAAAAGACTCAGGTTAGACGAGAGCCAAGAAAGCGCAAGCAGATCGACCGCCCAGAGATGGGATCGCCTCAAAAGCGAGCCAGTGTTCATACAGAGAAGGTAAATCCAAAGCTTTCGAAAAATTGCATGTCCCCTCCGGAGTGCCAAGTGAGCCAGGGCAGCGAGTCTCAAGTTCCCCCGAGCGCACCGCGCAAGAGAGCTCGCAAGAACACAAACATCTTCGATGAATTGATTTCTCCTGTTCGCAGTTTCTACTTCGAACAGAGCGTCTCCACAGCAGGGCACGAGGCTGGAAGACAGAGGCGCATTCATACTAGAGCCGAAGACTCGAATCTAGGGAATCCGAATGCATCACTTGCATCGAGCGCGATTTCGAACTCGCAGGACGGTAGCCAGGATTCGCAGTCGCTCGAATACCCACGTCGCCGCTCTTCACGACAGAACGAGGATTCTCAGGATTCCATCACCCATTCCCAGAGAGTAAGGAGTGAGCCCACAGACCCACCTTATCGAGCCAAGCGGTTCACCATGGGTCAATAATCCCTTACGTTGCAAACTCGCAGGATGGTCTTGCTCAGAGAGGATTGAAATCCGACAAAATTGGCAGTAAGAATGGAATTTGGTGTTGCTAGAGTCAAAAGTTACGGAGAATGTTGCGATTTGCAAAGGGGGAGAGCAAGGGATCAATGGCAAGTGTAGCTTTGGTGAAGGTTGTTTGATTTTGGTGTGGTTGACTTTGGCGGACGAAGGCAACCGTGACAAGGCCGATGAAGTGACAGCGTGTAGCTTGAGATGGATGGAATTGCTGAGGATGAGGATGTCTGAGTTGTAGCTCTCCACCACTAATCGATACTTGCTCGATATACAATCATGTGGCGCAAGTGTGAAGTAGTTGCCATCATGGCCGTCTCTTCAATCAGAACCCGCCGAACAGACAAGAAAAGGAGCGCCGTTGTCTTTGAGATACAACCATCCTCACGATCCAGACCTGTGGGTATTGCGACAAGTTCCGTCAAAAGATGGGGCAAGCCAACCTTCCTCGACAACCACTTCGCATCAGCAGTGCTGTGCTTTCTCCCGTGTGTGCCATCCTCAGAAGCGCTCTTAAGAAGGTGCGCGCACACTTTCCGGATGTCGATATGTTTCTCATTTGTGTCCTCGTATTTGTAGGCCATCGACCAAGCGATGGTAGGATCTGTAATTGTCTACCTATTTCCCTTCCGTTTTTGCTCGAGGAATAGGACCTTTCTTCGTACTGTTGAATCAGGAACTCAATGTTAGCAAATGGGCCGCGCCAGCAGTGTGATTCGGTTGCCTGGACCCCGTCCACCAAGTCGCAACAGCGCTTCCGCTCCTCATTCAGCCGTTGTACGCCGCACAAGCCTGGACACCTGCTCCCCGTGGTCTCGAACGGGGCGCATGCGACTGTGCTGCTGCGGCGCGTTGGCGGGCGGGCAGTTGGGGGGGAGGGGGAGGGGCATGCGCTGTCGCGACTGGATGGCGGGAGGAATATTCAGGGCGGCAGATTGAATGATAAGGGGTCGAGTGGGCGGGCGGGCGCCGTACCTATCGGGTCGTACTTGAGCATGCTCATGGGCGGCGACGTTCGCGGGCGCGTGAACTGGTAGAAGAAGCCCGTCATGGCCATCGAGAGGAGCCGCACCGAGACGATACGGGATTTCACTGCTCACACACAGGGTTATCAGTCAGTGTCGATGGAGCGAAGCTGGCGGGAAGAGCTTTCGGGGAGCGGCGCACTTTCTTGGCCATGGCTTGCGGTGCGGGTTGTCGTGGCCGGTGGGAATACGGGTGTGGGCGCGGACGACGGGCGACGGGCGAGGTTTGATTTTGGGAATCGGATAGGTTGACGTCGGGGATGGATTGGTTCGGGTGGGATACCCCTGTCAGGGTTGAACCCTGAGACGGGGATGTACAGATGTCTTTCACACGGCTTCAGAGGCTTGGTTCGACGTCTTGTTGTCTCCGTCCGCACACAAGCCAACCAAAGAACGGCCTTTTCTACGGTATACCGTACGAGATTGAGTGTGTCTGGTAATCTGGTCGGTCGCGTAGTCATCTGTGAGCATATGGCTAGACTCGGGCATGTTCGCTTGTTCGGTTGGTTTAACAGATCATTCACAAGCGGACGGCAGGATGAGCCTGATCAATACGCCGTCAGCTCTTGGGCAATCTCTTGCAAGTATGATTCCATTCTCTCGCCACCAAGCTTTGCGAATCACGTTCCACACAAGGCATTGTAGCTGTCAGTCATGCTAGCTTCGTGATTTGCTTAAACTAGGTTTGCTATGCACTTAGATTGATATTACTCAGACGCTATGCTCATCAAATGTTTCCATGGCAAAGAGAACTCTCGGACTCTAATACTGTCACTCTGGTATCCATCGCAGAGTCCAGGGCGACATGCGCCTACGAATCAATTCAGCTTCACGGCGGATCTCATCATCGTCCGGCGCCATGCGAAGAGCATTGTTAATATTTGTCCAGGTAAACACGGTCCCGCGGTCGCCGAGCCGCTCGGCCTTCACCGTGTGATACAGCTGGGTGGCGGCCTGGTGGAGACTCGGCCTGTGCTCGAGCGGCGGGGGGATTTGGTGGATTACGGTGCCATGTACGAGGTCCACTAGGCTCGAGTACTTCGTCGGGTCGCCTCGGTCCTCGAGATGGTCGCCGCGGGACTGTGCCTTTTCAGGCATGCTTCGTATGACGCCCTCGGCGGCGTCATGCCTCTTCTGCATCACGATCAACCATGCCTCGGCCTGTCGCAGGTCCAGCTCGAAGAACAGCTCGGCTAGTTCCGGACAAGGCGAGAAATCGGTTCCGCGTGGAAGAATACCTCTGCTGTACAGCCAGACCAGTCCTTGCGACGCCCTCGCGTAGGTGTGAGCGGCTTGTATGGGCCGTTCGAGGTTCAGATATCCATCGGCTTGGCTCATCTTGCGATTCACATCTTCAAGGATGTCCTGAATCCGGGGCGTTGCGATTTGACCGCTCACGCTCGTCTCGATGTCCCGGGCCACGTCCGGCTTTATACTGCCATGGATGGTGAAGTCCTTAAAACCGTGGAGTGTATCCAGGTAGGGCTTCAGAAAATTTGACGGGTCCAAGACCGGAATGTCTTCGGCAGGTTTATTGTCGTGGACCGTAAGTGTATGCCGGGTACATGCCCCAAAGCGATGATAACCGCTGTCAGCGCCATCAAGAGCCTTGCAGAAAAGGGCAAGATCCCTGCGGAGAATGACGAATTCCTGCAGTCGAGGGCGGCCGTGAACAATCAGATCAAGCCTCTCGAGGGACCGGTGAGTCCGGCCCCATGGCTTTGCGGTGCTTGTTATCGAAGAGCAGACGCCTCCTAGCCTCTCGATCTGATGGGTGACGATGAAGAATTCGGAGAGCTCTTCCACGCGGCCTCGGGCATATCTTCCGAGCGTCAGAGCAGCAATCGGGACCTGGGAAGCGTGGAATATAGGTCGCAGGTTGACAGACTCAGACTTGATGTAGATGAACTGGTTGATCGATAACATCACTCTCCTCGCTCGTAAGCGGACCTCTGGATCTGGGTAGCCCAGTATGCGCGTATCTATCCTCCACGGCATCAAGGCGAGCTTGCTGCACTCCCCGATATATTTGCCATCGTTAGCCGGATCTGTAGTTTCTGGCCTTGGGAAGGCGCAGAGTACATGGGTGAGAATTTGGTCTTGAATTTCCCCGGGGAGAGTTGTGAACCGATCGCGATGTGCTTTTAGTCGGGACCCGTGGTTGAAGGCTTCCATGCAGGCGAACGAGTATCGTGGACGCTTTTCGGAATACTACGCTTTTGGGAACGTGATTTGGCGATTTCTGAGCGTGTCTCTGGGGATTTAAATTGTCGAGTTTCATGCAAGTTGGGACTGGCGTAAGCCTTACTAGTATGGAACGAAAGAGAAGTTGAGACCATATTAGTCCCTGTCATCTCAAAGCTTTTATACTTTTCTGTGGCCAGCTATCCCGTTGTTTCTCCCCAATTCTTCCCACAAAGTTGTTGGCAATTTTTCTTCAGTCACTGCCCCTTCGCTTGTCAGATGTAAATTCAGTCAATCTGGCCTATTGTTTAGCGTGGCCCACCAGGGACTCATCCGTATCTCTACATCTGTGACCATGGTCTTAGTCTCCAGTCTGTGTAGACTCCGTTGGGTCACGTGTGCCGCTAACGCAGCACCCGTTTGGATCTTTCTTCTGCAAGTTGTCCAGCCCTTCGTCGCCACAATTCCAGCTGAGTGGGTCCAGGTCATGGCTCACTGCTAGTACTAGTACCTGTTGGTATAGATCGCATCGTTACTCGCAGCAATTATCAAATGTGAGGGCAATTTCATGTTACTTACTCCTCGGGTTGGGCACAGATATAGTGGCCATATTCATAGGCCCCGAGGAAGAAGAATGTTAATCGTGCAGAAGAAGCTGCTCATCGACCGTTGAACTACAAAACAGGACCTGTGATGTGTTCAGATGGTAACGCCGTACATGAGTCTTCCTGAATTCCACACAAGCCGTTACGCTTCCATACCCTCCTGATCAGCGGCTCCGAAGAGTATCATGGGAGCGTCCCTAAATCTTGAAGAGGTTGACCAAGCTGCACCGCTGGGTATACGTACCGGTTTCTCATTTACTCGTATTGAACATGCTCACCTGTGCGAGTACATGGGTGCCACGCCAACGTGACTTGCATTTCTCCGGCCGGTCTATGTATTGGCTGCGGCACAGATCAATATCCTAGGAATCAGCAGGTCGGAGCGCTGACCGCTTCAGCTCTATCTATTAAGTTGTGTGGTCCCGTTTTCAACCTGTTCACGTATGCTTCTTAAGCAGTATGCATCCAGTCAGCCCAGTGGTCTCGTTTTCAATCTATACACATATGCTTCTTAAGCAACATGCATCCAGTCCCTTTATAATATAATAATAAACGCTTAAACACTTAGCATTAAAAAAACAATATAACATTAATAATAATAAGTTTTAAATTTAATTATAGCTTATAATAATAGCTTTATAATAATTATATAAATAAGGTTAATAAAAACTATTTTTAATAATATTATAACTTTAAATTATTAATATAAATAATGCAAGATTAATAATTAAATAATTAATTATATAAAAAGATTAAAATAATATTTATAAAACAACTCTTATAAATATAATTTTAATTAAAAACTTAATTTCTTTCCGCTTATATTAATATATATTATAAGCTCTTATAAAAATCCTTATTAAATAATTAAATAATTTTATTTTTAATTTACATATATATGCTTTTTAAATAATATATATTTAATCCCTTTATATAATAATAAACGCTTAAATAACCCGCATTAAAACAATATAATATTAATAATAATAAATTTTTAATATAATTATAATTTATAATTAAGAAAATAAAAATAACCTTATTATAACCATATAAATAAAGCTAGTAAAAACTGCTTTTAATAATATTATAAATTAAAATTAATAACTAAGCAATTAATCATATAGCGAAAATTAAAATATTTCTTTATAAAATAAACCTTATAAATATAATCTTAATTAAAAACTTAATTTCTTATTACTTATATTAATATATATTTTTATAATAAATCTTTAATATAATTTATTATATTATAGCTAATATTATATAATAATTTATATTTATAATATTTATTAACTTTTATTAATTATAATATTTATTTAATATAAAGAAATTAATAAAAGTTAATATTAATTAATATTAATTATTTTAAACTTTTTATTTTTAATTAATTTTATTAATTTAAAATAATTAATATAAATATAATATAATTAAAAGTTATTAAGATTTATATAAAATAACTTCTTTATAATATTAATTATATTTTAAGTTTTTATATTAATTTTTCTTTGATTTACTTATTTAAATATTTAATATATTAAAGATTAATATTATATTATATATTCTTTATTAAAAGAAAGTAAAATCTTTTTTATTCTTTAAATAGTTAATAAGTTTAAAAATAATAATATAAAGCCCTTAAATATCCTTTAAATAATATAAATTTTTTATATCTTAAAATAAACTTTATATAAAAAGATAAATTAAAAATATAATTATAAGAAATTATATATTAATAAATATAAACTTAATTAAATTAAAAAATAAATATATATTTAATATATTATTAAATAAAATAAATAAGGATTTGTATTATAATTTTTTAATATAAAAAATATAGCTAACTTTTTATTAACATTTTAAAATAATAAGCTTATAAATTAGTATTAAGCTTAATATTTTATAAATTTATAACTTAACTTAAAAATTAAGTTTAATTATCTTTATAATTATTAAAAAGCTTTTTATAAAAGTTTAAAAATTATTAAAAATTAATTTAAATTACTTTATAATATAATAATTAAATATTAAATTATTAATAATTTTATAACTTTAAAAAATATTAATAATAATATTTATAACTTTAATAAAATTAACTTTATAATAAATATAAAAAAGTTAAATTATTATTTAACTTAATAATTAAAAATAAATAATTATTATTAAATATATTAAAATAAATAGGTTATAAATCTTATTTTTTATAATTATTTAATATATTTATTATCTTATTAATTAAATAATAAAGTTAAGTTTTTTAAATAATTAAGTTATTAAAATTATTTTTAATAAATAAATAAATAATAAAATAAATTTAAAATAAATTTAAAATAAATTTAAAATAAATTTAAAATAAATTTAAAATAAATTTAAAATAAATTTAATATATTAATAAATATATTAAATTAAAGAAAAATATTAATTATTAAATATTAATTATAAATAATTATAAATATTATATATTAATTAAATTTAATTAATATTATAATAATAATATAATTATTATTATTAATAAATTATCTTATTTATTTTATTTACTTTAATTATTAAATATTATATTATATTTACCTTATATATATATATATATATATAATAAATTTAATTCCTTTATTTAAGCCTTAATTAATTATATTATTAAGTTTAAGTTTTTTTTATATATTTAAAATAACTTATAATAAGATTTTTTTAATAAAAAATATTAAGTTTATATTTAAAGAAATTAAAAGTTTTCTATAAAACCTTAACTTTATAATTTTAAGCTTAATATTTACTTGTAAGCTTTAATATAATTTCTTTTTATTTTTTTTTAAAAATAAAAGTTTTAAATATTATTTAATATTTAATAAATTATTTAATAATTAAGTTTTATTAAAAGTAAAATATTTATTTATTAAAAAAGTTTTTTTATATTAATTATAAAAGCTATTAATTAAATAATAAAAAGTATATAAATAATAATAAATAATTCTTTTTTAAAAGAGTAAGTTTATATTTTTAAAGATATTAATATAATATTTATTAAATATTAAAAAATTAAAAAAAGACTTAAATATACCTTAAAAAAGTATTTTTAATTAAGAAATCTTAAACCTTTATTTAAAAGAAATAAAAAAGCGCGGCTAGTTAATAAAATAATTAATAATATTAAAAAGGTAATTTATAATAAATTAATTAAATAATAATATAATAATTATAATAAAATTAAGTATAATATTAAAACTTATAAAAAAAATAAAAAAGGGTTTAATTAATTAAATTTTAATTATATTATAATAAATTTAATTTAATTAATATTAATTAATATAAATATATTTATTTTATTAAATTATAATAAATTATATTTTTAATAATATAATTAATATTAATTAATTTAAATTAATATTATATTTATTAATGGTTTGGCTTCCGTACGGTTGGTAATAAATAAATAAAGTATATAATTAATTCGGCTATGGTATGAAGGGTAGGTTGCAGCAAAGCTACAGCCTTCCCCTATTTAGCTATAAGCTAGCTATAGTAGTTTATGCGCGGGGCATGTAATTACCAGCTAGCAGCTAGCTAGTACTAACTAGCAGCTGCTATTAATAAAACTAATTTAAACCTTATACCTTTAAATTTATATATTACCTGTAATATACTTACTATATAGGTATATTGCATATAATGCCTATATATATTATTCCCATATTAACAATCTTTATATATATATATGTAAATGCTTTAAAATTATGCTTTTCCTTTAAATCATTATTTAGCTAATTAAATTACTTAGTTAACGTAAATATTTTATCCTTTAAGGAGCTATAAGGAGCTAAGTGCCTTATAACCATTGCTTTAATAAGTTAAGTGCAAGTATTTAAGTGTAAGTATTTAAGTATAAGTGTGCTTAAATGTTTCAAGTGCTTAAATTGCTTAATTAAATTATTTAATTGCTAATACTTTAAAGCCTTAAAGTATTTAAATGCTATGCTTTAATTAATTATTACTTTAATAACTTCTTTCTTTTTATTATTAAGTTAGCTAAAGTGCCTACGGAATAAATTAAGCTTAAGTTAATAATAGCTATTATTATTATATTTCTTAACGAAAAAGTTATTATTATGGAAAAAGTTATTGTTATAAGGCTTATGTTAAGGGCATTGCTAATTAATAAAGAAGTTATAATTAATAAAAAGGAGGAGGTATTAGCTTTTTAATAGTTAGCTTTATAATAATTAGCTTTATTTTAATTAGCTTAAACTTCTTTTAATGTTTATATATCTTTAATTATAGGTAAAAAGTTATTATTATAAACTCCTTTTAAGGTTATTAAAGTAATTCTTAATTATGTAATTAAGTTAAAATAATTAATGCTTTTATTATTAATATATAATTATATTTTATATATACCTTATAATAATAAAGTATTTATTTAAGCTTATAAAAAAGCCTTTAATTAATCTTTTAAAAGCATTTCTTTATTTATTTATAAAACTTATATTAAAATTTATTTAAAAAGAAGTTATTATTATAATTTAAATAACCTTTAAGGCTTTTAATTATATTAATAACTTTTTTTTTATTAAAGAAAGGGGTTATTATTAATATAAAGGTTATTGCTATTAAGGCAAATCTTATAATAATTAATTATAAGGTAAAAAGAAAGGGAAAGAAAACGTTTTTATGCCATATTTATAGGCTAATAACTAACTTTTAAACCATTTACTTACAAATAATGGTACTTAAATATTATTATTATTTAATAAATTAATCTTTATTAGCTTTTTAAATAATTTATACTTAAAATTTTATTAAAAAGTATTAATAAGAAGGGCATTAAAAAAAGGAAAGGTTATACTTATTAATTAAACGTTAATTATTATTAAAAGGTAAATATCTTAAAAATTTAATTAAGTTATTTATATAATTAAACTTATAATAAATCTTAATTATTTTTTTTAATAATTTTAAATTAATTAAGTAAATAAAATAATTGCATTAATTACTTATTTTTGCTAATTAATAATTT